TGAAATGGCCATTAAATGTTTTTTGTCATTTAAATTGAAAGCAACCGAAATATAGCATTAATATTCCCCCCTCCAAATAAATTATCACAGTCAGTGTTAGAAACCGTTATTACATTATTTATAATTAAGAATTGTCGAGCAACAAGAATTTATACAACTGATACAAGTTCCATATTATATTTTTGGAATTAAACAAAAAATTAAACTTCCCAACAATTTAGAAAAGGTCAATCTTGCCAGTTTATAAAAGGGAGTTTGATTTTATAGAAGAATAATCTCCTCTCTCAATCGCTTTGGATAATAAATGGGGAAGAAAGAATATTATGGCTACCTTTTGGCTAAACAATAGGAAGCAATAATTCCAAGATCTATGCGAATGTTTTATGTTATTAATGCCTAGATGTGTTTTAATCAGTATAAAGGAAATAATTATTAGCAAAAATTATGGTCAACCTTACAATTAGAAAGCGACTGAAAGTATTTACTCCAAAAAATTTATGAATGTTTAGTGCTTAATTTTATATTATTTTAATACGTTTGGTAGAAGGTATAACGAAAAAGTTATAAGCAAAATAAAAAAAAAATTGCAAAATTGACATCAGGCCACAATAATTAGATAACTTGTTTATGCCAATATTTAATGTCTGATTAGTACTTATAAACTCTCACTTAGGGCTGGGAACCAATAGTAAAAACCCAATATTAACAAAATATTGTATTGGTATTGAATCTAAAATATTGGTATTGGTTTAAACAATATTTTCTATTTCTTGTATTGGTATTGCTATTGGTATTGGTTTATATTGGTAACTATTGGATTATATTGGTATTGGTTTAAATTCAAATTACTAATTAAAAGAATAGAAATAGTGATTATAAAACCCTTAATTTCTATTTTAAATAAACATGGGGAAAAAAATCATGATACCATAAAATCAGGGCTAAGAACCAACTCTCAAAATTTTACTGAATTCAAATTCTTTTTTAAACTAGGAATTTATTAGGTGATGTGAATATAAAAAATTTTGATTTAATCATGCATTTTTTGTATCAACAATAATAAACGTATTGATTTTGAACCATTTTATTTATCATAAAGAAAATAGCAAAATAAACTAAAAATGTAACATAACTCTCTATTTATACAAAATATAATGCAAAAGAATGATATAATTTTAATATAAGAAGAGGAAATAATTTTATGTATTTAAGAAGAATCTTGCATGCGCATCCAACTTTTTAGGCACAGGCAAGCTTGTATAGTACGCTCATCTAGTGAACAACGTTGGTCTGTTATAACATACCGATCTTCTGAAAAAGCCCTTTCAGAGCTAGATGAGGTGGCCGGAATTGCTAGATAATCTCTAGCAATTTTTGATAATACTGGATATCTATTTTTATTTAATTTCCACCAATCTAATGGATTTGTATCATTGGAAATTGTGGCTTCATCTACGTATTTACTTATTTCTAAGTTGTTATTATTATGAGGTTTCACCTGATAAATTTTGTCATAAAAGGATAATTTTTTGTTATTTTGTGCTGCATTTGTAAGTTCCGCTGAACTGTTATTATTTATTTAAAAATTTTGTATTCATTAGTAAGATATCCAATAAGTGTTTCCATATTATTATGCTTTAATAAATGACTTGATAGTTTAAATCTTGGGTCAATCATTGTTGAAATAATAAAGAGGTGTGTATTATAATTATAGTATTTATTAAGTTTTGTTAAGGCAGCAAAAGAAGCTGTCTTTAAAATAGCATTAGGATTATTATTATAACTCTCCACATGCTCAAAAATACTGGAATATAAAAGAATAATTGTTGAAATTGTTGGAGTATTAGCACATGAGGCCATCTCTGTACCAAAATTAAATGGTTCCAAAAATTCTCGGTATATTTCTATATTATTCCAGACTAAGGCACTAATATAATTTTCTTGACTGGTATTTTGTAAATGATTGGTATATGTTGTCAAATAGGGTTTGAGCAATATTGCTCTTTCAAGCATTTGGTATGTTGAATTCCAACGTGTTGGTATATCCAAGATTGGGTGAGGAAATTTTAAGTGTGGATTTTTTTCAAGATATATTTTTTCGAGTTTATTAAATTTAGATATAGAAAGTTTAAAAATTTTTTAAAAATTTCTTATTTTTTTTAAAGTTGTATTTAAGGGTTCCAATGCAGCCATGACAGCCAAATGTATAATATGGCAAAAGCATTTGCACACATTATCAAAATTATCTTTTTGTTTTAAAATTTTTAGAAATGCTAAATTATTACAAATCAATTTCAAATTTTACTTTTAATACAGAATTAAAAATATTAATAGAATTATGTGCTGATTTAAAAGGAATAAAATCTAATAAGTGATTAATTAATTTAAAATCATTATCAATATAATGAATTGTTATGCCCATAAAGGGTATTGGACCAAATGTCCATTGTTAAGGAAAATTTAGATGTAATGTTAGAAAGTACAGATTTTAAATTGATAAAAGAACTATGATAATGTTTCATAATTTCTATTTTTAGTGTTTTTCTATAAACTAATGTTAGCGAAGGGTTACAATATGCTATTAAATTTTTAAAAGTGATATCCTCAATGAAAAAGTTTATAATTAAATTAGCTTTATTATTTATATTATTAAGTAAAAATGATTTTATTGTCTTAATTTTTTTACTGCCATTATTTATTTGCTCACATTTCTTATATAATGTTGGGTGGATGGATTTAAGATGTGTCCATAATCCTGAGGTTCCAAAATTGGGAAGTGATATTTTTTTTTTACATTTATTACAAATTGCCTTTTTTTTTATCACAAGTAGTATAAAATTCCCAGATTTTTGCTGAATTTCGTCTTTTATTAGATATTGATAATTCTTCTTGTTCATTATCGCTATTATTATTAGTACCAACAGCATCTATATTTATTAACTCTATTTGGTCTTCATTTATTATAATATCCTAAATAAATAGATAAAATTGATAGATATCATGTAAAAAATTTACTTCCATAATGAAAATAAACTATAATTATAAATAACAGAAATATTGATATCACAGTAGTATTGGAAGAAATAACAGATGTAATCAGTTTTTGCAATGAAAGTAAAAAAAATACCACGATATAATTATCCACGATAAACCCAAATAATTATGTTATTTTTAATATTGGTATTGGTAAAAATTGTATTTAAACAATATATCAAAACCAATATATTTAGGTAATTGGTATTGGTTGTAAAAGCAATACCAATATTTAAATATATATTGGTATTGGTATTGTAAACCAATATTATATTGGTATTAGTCCCACCCCTCTCACTCAATCAGTTTTGCAAACCACAAAAAAGAAACCGAGTTTTATAAACATGATGAAAACTATGTCTCTCCTTAAGCGTGAAGTGATTCAAACCTTGGAAATATTAATTCTGAGCCTATACAAGAAGTCTTCAATTAGTACTTTTTGTTACTATTTTTTTGCTAGATGGTTTAAAGGATAAAAAAATAAGCAAAAGTTGTAAACGTAGTATCCAGAATGAAATATCAAGGGTTAACAGCTCTAAAACTTATACCAATAATTAGTGTATTTAGTATTAGTGCCTCAATCAATTTGGTAGATAAATTATAGAAAAACACATTATTGAAAAATATGAAAAAATTGCCAAGATTGGTGTTAAAACAAAAAGAAGTACTGAATATCTGGATGCACCAATATGCAATGGCTGATTAGTAATTACTAGTGCTGTAAAGTATCGTCAAAAAATAAGGATAATAGCTTTTTTTGAAGAAAAGGAACACCATTTGTTACCTTCTTCTAGAGGTAACGAGTAACGGTAAAGCAAATCGTTACTTTAAATATTTTCTTAAAAAATATAGAAAATCATATTTAATTGTATTATAAAATTATCTTTATTTATTTTTTAATTTTATAAATAATTTAATAAATTTTCAGTCAAGAATGTTAATCTAATTAGTATTGATCAAGAATGTTAATTCATATTCTTATTCACTAATATGATAATTTATATTTTATAAAGCATTTTTATTTAAATTTTCATTGTTAAATTTTTAGTTGTTGTTAATCTAATAAATATTGAATCAATCAAGATATGTTAATTCATATTCTTTAATATTATAATTTATTTTATAAAGAATATTATGTCAATTGTAGGTATTTCTTAAGATGAAGATGATTTAACCTGCCCTGGACATAATACCAAACATTTTTTTTACACCAATTATAAAATTAAAGGTACAAAGTTTATACCTTGTAAATTTGTGTCCCAACTCAAATATTTCTTCAATTTTTGAATAAACATGAGCAGTAACTGTGCAAAAGGTCACAAGTGTTCCTTTTTTGAAGTATTGTTTATGGCACTAGTAATTACTAATTCATCAAGTTTTTTTTCTACTCAATAAACATAAATCAGTTATAAACAGAATAAAAACGATAATGTTAGCCTTAAGCTGAGTCTAAAATATCAGATTTTAAATTGTGATTAAAAACAAATTGTAATTATATCAAAGTACATTAAGGTTTCTTTTTCCATGATTTAGATATTAATTGTTCTTTTTGATTTATTTAATAGATATAGTTGTAAAATGTTAAAATCTCTTTACATTCAGATAAATCTGAATCATATACAGTTCTAATCTTGAAGGTTGCCAATTTAAAAGCAAAGTTTAGACCAACATGTGATTTTATACATTTTAGTTTATTGCTTCAATTTTGTAAGCAGTATAAGGATATAATGAAAAATATAGAAATACTATAGTAACTTTTATAAAAAAAATAATTTTAAAATATGACTCAAGATCTCTCTTTAGTTATGATAATTTCTACTATTTTACATACAATACTAAAAATCAAGGGCAATCATATATAAATTAGTTAAGATTAGAAGAATATAATAAAATAAATAATCTGAGTAAATATTATAAAAAATTTATAGTATAAATATTATTTCATATACATATTTCTAATATCTTACAATTTTTGTGAATTCCCCAACAGCAATAAGGTTAGCGACTGCTTTGAGAAATATACTGCCTGTTGGATCAGATATATCTTTTCTTTTAAACCATGATAATGTACTATCGTCATACAAAACAAACCAATCATCTCGCCAATCTTTCCCAATAAAACGTTCTTTTAAATATTATGTTACTATAATTTAAACTACAATAATTTACTTTCGTAACGTTTTAGGTATCCTGATTTTACAATTGAAGGCATAAAAGAGCAAATGATATAGTGCCAAAATTGGTAAACGACTATATTGCCAAAATCAATTATTTGACACTTGTTATCTGCATGACAGGTGTCAAGTAATCATATGAAAAATATTACATTATGATTTTTAACATATATTTTAGAATTACACTAAAAAATCCTCATTCTGCAACGAAAGAACTATTATATCCTATTTATTGCTTCTATGTGTTAATAGAAGTATCGACCTCGCTAATAAAACGGGCAGATATTCATAGGGTATATACAGAGTTTTAATAAAAATGGGATAAGGAAGGTCTTTATAGAAATAGAATATGTTATCCTTAATTTATGATACAAATGTATTTTTTTTTCTATTTTTTTAGTAGCGTATAAAATTAATCACTTCAGAAATATTGGCGGCCATATTTCTAAATTATTACCAGAAATGATAAAATATAATGATAATCAAACATTGGATTTTATACCTGAAACTAATCTTAAACAAATTTGTAAATTTTTGGACAAAAAAGATAGATGGATGCAACTTGCCAAAAAATAGTTCATATATATATTTTAATATATATATGTTTTTTTATAGTGAAATTGATGTTGAAATTTATAAAAAGGGTGACAATCCCTCAAATAGGTTGCTCAAAAAGCTTAAAATTTTAAATATATCTATTGGACACTTATTAAAAGTTTTCGAAGAATTTGAATATGATCCTCCACTTTTACTCTTTAGAACAATCGGTGACAAAATATATCACACAAATATAAAAAAAATATATATAGAAACAGTAAAAATTATTAAAGAACCTCCCAATAAACTAGTTATAAACAATGGGGGCACTATTTATTTAGAGTGCATTGCCACTGGATTTCCACATCCACTATATCAATGGTTTAGGAAAAAAGAATTTTTGAAGGATCAACAAAAAAATATTTTAAAAATTACAAATGCACAGTAAGATTAATTTTAGTACAAATTATATATTAATTCTAAAAGATTAATTGATCAGGGACTTTATATATGTAGGGTTCATAATTCAGGAATGAAGAATTCTATCTTTACAAATTGGTCTATAATTAAAATAATATTTGATATTGTAAAAGGTTTACATTATTGATCACTTTTTATTGTCAATAAATATAATATGGCAATCATATATTTTGGAGGAGGGCAATGGTTACCATCCCTTTTTTTTGATAAATAATTAAAAAAAAACATTTCTAGAATGACTGTTATCAAATAATTCCATCTGCTCCATAAATTAAAATTTAAGGAAAAATATTAAAACAAAATTTTACACTGCTCATTTAATATGGACCTCTACTATATATTTCTATGAAGTTTAAATTTGCCTTCCCCAAAACAATAGATACTCAATCAAAAGATGATGCTAAACCTATATATAACAAATTAGTTCCTTTTAAACCTCCTAAAATTACAAGACATCCAATAGCTTATTTAGAAATAGAGGAAAATTCTACCATAACCCTAAAGTTAGCAATTTAAATTAATAAATTTGGGGTAATCAGAAAAAAAAGATTAGGTTATATTCCAAAAGATATCCAATATTTGTAAGGGAAAGGAGATATTAGAAATTGCACAGGATTTTTATAAGTTATTAAATATTAAATATATATAGTTACATTATAGGAGATGTGTGATATATATTGCAGATCAGTCTGGACATGAGTTAGTATATGTGAAAGATTAGATAGTTTAAAGAATTAATTGAAAAATAGTGATTATTTTATTTAAATATATAAATTTATATTATAAAAGTAGGAAAATTATCTTAATTGAATAGCTTTTTATATAATATAATATAATAATAACAAACAATCAATTGAAGAAAAATATCTTATAATTGAAAATAACAATTTGCAATTATGCATTACAGATCTTCCCATTACAAATTGAATTTGTTATGGTAATGCAGTGGGGGTTTGGAAACTCTTTGTTAAGGTTACCCTTCCATTACGTTATACTCTGTCTAAGTCTCCCATCATTGTTATTTGTATTTCCTTTGCATCCATGAGCATCTCTCAATGGTCGGCATGCTTGATTTTTTACTATGCCATCGGACTCATTATATAATATCACACTTTAACATTGAACCACCATCCTTCATGCTATCCTGTCATCTTTTCGTTTTCTATTCAAGCCTTTTGATTTTTAATTTCAGGGGCACACCATTCTTGACTTTACAATATTTTTGATTATTACTATTGAATTTGTTACCATTATAGCTATTCTTAAAATATGTGTTTTTGGCATATTGTGTCAGCTTACGTTTTATTATTTTTTTTCACTCCACCGTGAGTAGAAAAAGCGTTGACTAGACGAAAAGTCTCTTTAAACAAAATATTTCTCTTTGAATATTTTTTACTAAAGCTCTTTTCCCAATTCAGGTAGCCCTACTCCTAAAATAAAAATATACCTTAAAAGTTCGTCAACCAGTGTTTTAAAATTACAAGTAAACAAGTACTTTTTAATTTTATCGAAAAATTAATAATCATTTTACCACCTCTTTTAAGCATATAAAAAAATATTCATATATAGAAAAATATTCGATATATCCTTAAAAATTATCTCCAAACTATTAAGCAACGTTTTTAGAAACGATATTCCAGACTATTAAGTAACGTTTTGTAATTAATGGTATCTAAATTATCTGAGAGTAGTCATAGTTCTTTATTTGGTTATCGGTTAAAGCAAAGATAAGATATTTCCTTAATTTAGGGTCAAAGATATTTTTTTACTGTGAAAATGAGTTAGAAATTATTAACATAGTTTTGATATTAAATTTCAAGGAATTTCAGGATGTGAATCTGTGGTTCTTCGCTATTTTTATGTCTTCTTTAGGCATAATTTAATTTCCTTCGTTGATTTTTTCTCATTCCTAGTGAAAGGTTTATATAGTCTTAAGAATTAAAAAAGAATGATGATTTTATTTAAATATATAAATGAATATTATAAAAGTTGAATGAATATTATCTTAATCGAATCGCTTTTTATTTATTAAAATTTCAAGCAATCATTTAGGTTAATATATTTTATAATCGAAAATAACAAAGTATGTGATAAGTTTGCGGCCACGACCGCGGGTTGTTCTACCGGGGGATAGGGAGAGGGATCGGCAGAATTCGAGGTACCGTTTATTTTATTGTTATAATATCACAATTTTCCAAAGAATAAAACTTTCAGAATTTTATTTAACACAAAAAAAAATCAGTAAAATAATTAAAAGAATGAATAATAAATGTATTTTTGCAACCTTTTATAATTTATAAAACAAAGAAAAATAAATAACATGTTGTTATATAATATCGCGATACAATCATTCTTGAAACTGGTCAGAACCAGTTTCAACAATATAAAAATAAGGTATAATATCAATATAAAAAAAAAGGACGATGGGAAAACAAAAGAAACAAGTGGAGAAAAACTTAAAGAAAAGAAATAAGTTATACGGGACAAGAGGGGGGGGGAGGTAGAACATAACAGTATGTAATCCAAAATCTGTAGACCCGGTTCACAAAATCTATAGACCCAGTTCAAGAGACCTTTCCATAGGCTGAATAGCTGGTGCTTTATGCTGCCAGAATTTTAAATATTTTTAATCTTTGAAAATAATACAAATTTATGCCAGACAAATTGTGTAAAATATTTTTGGAATCAGGCAAAAAAAATTATAGGCTGGGCCAACACATATTAAAATTTTTGATGTGATGTCTTGATGATCTCTAATGTAATGTTCCATTACTAAAATGGTTTGGCCAAAGAGAATAATCAAATTATAGGGTTTCCCTTCCAAAAAATGAAACGTCAATCATAAAAGAAAAGGGTCTGATAGAAAAAGGAAAAGTTTCAAGCAAAAATTGAAAATGTCCGACCAAAAAATATACGGTCCAATCAAAAACGGAAAGGCCCAATGGCTTCGGGTAGAGACCGATCAAAAAAGAAAAAGTGTCAAACAAAAAGAAAATTTCAGTCAAAAAAGAAAAAGTATCAATCAAAAAAGAAAAATTCTCTTTCAAAAAGGAAAATCGTTATTTTTACAAATTTTTTTCTTGTCATTTAATTTCCTTTTTATTTTATTCCTAACTTTTTGCGATCTCTAAGTAATTTTAGTATTTTTCTTAATCTTTTTTCAATTTTTTTATTTTTTAAATTTCACTTAATTTTTATTTATCATTGGCATACAAATTTTTTTTATTAGTATTCTTTGCATATCAAATTATTTCATTACAATTACGATGTATATATAATACGAAAAATTATATTAATCATTAATAATTTCCCTTCTTTTACATTTTGGAATCCATATTTCTAAAATAATTTTTTGCATTCTCCTCTTTCTCTTTCTGTATACTCTATAAAACGAATTAATTCCTCCTCGTTATTAGGATTTAGATTTAGATTTCTGACAAAATTTTTCCATTGGAAAAACACATTTTCAAAGGATTAAGATAAGGGCTCTATGGTGGTAAATATTATATTGTATGCCCTTTCCTTTCTATCGATTCTCTAATTGTATGATTATGATGAAATAGAACATTATCCATCACCAAAATCATATTCATCATTTTACTTTCTTCAAAATGATATGGTATTTCATTTATAAAGTTGCTAAAGTGTATAGCGTTGCAAGGGCCATTAATAACCTCGAAGAATATTATTGCAATTGTGAGAGAGCAGCAATGATACTAAAATTTATTTTCCTTATCCCTTCCACATTTATAATAGCCTTTTTAATCCACAAACCAATTTGCGTATTCTTTGCGAATCTTGATATTTGATTCGGTATTTTATCTAACTGAATGTGGTGATCCCTTTTAAAACTACATAAATCCAGAAGTAACCTTGATAACGTATTTTTTATCTTTCTACATCACATCTTTCTTTAATCATTTCACATAACTTTTTTAAGGATAAAATAATATATATTCTTTCTATTCTTGATTTAATTTCTTGTGTGCATGTGATTCTCTTTTGCGTAAACTATATTTTATTCCATTTTTGAGATGGGAGTATTTTACATTTGTCACATAAGATAAGGGAAAAGAAAAGTCGCGATGTCGGAGTCCTTAAAATAGTTAAAAATGAGGAGGGTCAAACCTTATTCAAGCCGAAGGAGGTGATAAAAAGGTGGAAAGGATATTTCAAGGAACTTATGAATATTGCTAATGACAAAGATTTCCTTCCCGATATTGAGCCAAACATAAGTATGGTCGAACATTTTCAGGAGGATGAAGTTAGGACGCAAATGAACAAGATGCAAAAAGAAAAAACTAATGGCCCAGATGGAATTCCTATGGAAGCATTATTCGGATGCCGAGAAGAAGGAGTCACGACCATGACGAACCTTTTTAACAAGATATTGGGAGACGAATTCCTAATCAATGGAGAAGCACGATTATACCCTTATTCAAAGGCAAAGGAGACCCGCAGGAGTGTGGTAATTACAGAGGTATCAAGCTAACTTGCCACTCCTTGAAACTTATGGAAAGGATCTTAGTAACAAGGCTGAAGAACGAGGTGGAAATATCGGCTAAAAAATTCGGATTTGTGGCTGGCAAATCCACAATAGATCCTATCTTCGCACTAAGACAAATGATGGATAAATATGGAGAAAAGAAAAGAAACCTACATATGGTCTTTATTGACTTGGAGAAAGCTTATGACATGGTCCCTCGCGATTTAATATGGTGGTGCTTGAGAAAACAAAATATCCCTGACGCATATATACGGCTTATGAAAAATATCTATGAAGCCTCAACTTCTTGCGTTAGAACGACAGTTGGAGTCTCTAAACCTTTTCGGGTTGAAATTGGATTACATCAAGGATCTGCTCTAAGTCCTTTTTTATTCAATATAATTATGGACACGATAACGAGAGACATCCAAAATCCATCTCCTTGGTGTATGCTATATGCCGATGATATAGTACTATGCGAAGAGACAAAGGAGAAAGTATTCGAAGATGAAAAGTGGTCAAAACGCTTAGCTGGATATGGTTTAAAGGTCAACAATCTAAAAACGGTATATATGCAGATGAACGTTACAGGTACCCCATCGCTGGATGACCAATTAAAGTACCCAAAGGTAGACAGGTTTACATATCTAGGCTCGATGCTCATCAAGAGGGAGGTTGCGCAAATGAAGTCAATGCACGGATCCAAAAAGGATGGCTTAAATGGCGAAGTATATCCGGTGTAATGTGCGACAAGAAGATGCATATGGTTGAAAAGCAAAGCTTACAAATCCATCGTAAGACCGGTGTTACTCTATGGAAGTGAAACATAGGCATTAAACGCTACGGAAGAAAAGTTATTACAAGCCACGGGGATGAGAATGATACGGTGGAGCTTGGGGTATACTAAACTCGACCATATGACGAATGACTGTCTCAGAGCAAAAATGGGCATTCAACCTATGGCGGACTTGATAAACGAAAATCGATTAAGGTGGTATGGTCTATACTAAGAAGGGAGACTAGTGATGTAAATCGAAAAGTATTGAACATGGAGGTGCCGGGGAAGAAAGGAAGAGGACGACCTCGTGTTACGTGGAAAGGTCAAGTAGACAAAGTTATGATGACTAAGAAGATAAATCCGAACATGGCCCTTACTCGATCAAGATGGAAGAAACTTATCAAAACAAACCCCACGACTGTGGGACCATATGCATGATAAAGAAGAAGAAGAATGATTTGATATGCAGAAAATACTAATAAAATTTTTTTTATCTATCAATGAAAAATAAAAATTTAATGAAATTTCAAAAAAAATATTAAAAAAAATTAACGATTTTATTTCATTTTCCTTGTTTGATTGGACCTTTTCCTTTTATCGAATTTCCTAAGCTTTTAGGACTTTTCCTTTTTTGAATGGAAAACCCTGTATTTAGGGTAATTTTGTTAATAGAATCTCTATTTAGTATATTTTGAAAATGCCAAAAGCTGACTATCAATATAAATATCAAACAGAAACAAAAAAATATATTTGAAAAAAATATGGATTAATTTAATATTTTAATTAGTTGTTGTGCCTTAGGTATACCCAATATATCATTTCAATGGTTCAAAGATGGAAATACTTTAGAAGGTCAAATATATCCAAATTTAAACATCGTTAATTGCCAACAATGCAAACATGAGGGTATCTATCAATGCAAGGTATCCAACGATAATGGATTTGTCTGGAGTTGTCAATCTCAAGTTGTCTTTTTATTTATTTTTTTGAAGCACACATATTCATCAATTTATTTAAATTTATATAAGGTGACGTTTCTAACTAATTATAGTAACTTGCCTTCCAATAAATGTAATGCACTATCTCATTTAAGTGATGTTAAGATGCCTGAAATAATTTACCACCCTCAAGCCCCTAGCGATAGAATCACTGTTGGCAGTTCAATAATTCTAGCTTGCAGGGCTGTAGGTAAGCTACCTTTACGATATGAATGGTATAAAAACAATCAGGTTTGCATAAGATTAGCAAAAATAATTTATTACATAACTAAAATAATGTTTAAAAAATATAAAGATAATATCTGGAGTTGAAACAAACGAATTGAAATTTTTAAATATACAATCTGACACAGAAGATGGTGGTTGTTATCAATGCAGAGTGTACAACACATTTGGGTCAAGCCTATCTAAACCTGCTAGAATTTGTTTAGATTTTACCCCAGATTCAATTCAAATTACAGCTACCGATAAGGTTATTAAAACACATTTTAAATTCTAGCTAACCTCTTTATCTAATTTCTCTTACTTTATTATGATTTAAAACAACCTGAAGTTTAAAATAAAGTTAGAGCCAATGTTTGACTAATTTTTAAGGAACCTAAGCAATATACACTATATTTATAAATAAGTAAGTGATATAATATTATTAATACAACCATTAAATACGGGAAAAATGTAAAATTTTAAGTGTAGGATTTTTAGGGCAAAAGTTGAACGGTTAAAAGCTAAAAATACTTTGCAAACTCCAAACGTTATATATAATGTGATTGTGATTAATATATTCTGCATCCACATTTGTCTGACATATGATTTTTCAGAGTTTTTGAAACCATTAATAAAAACACAAAATTTCTTTCTTCTGAGGGTATACATAAAAATTAAAATTATCTGGAGCTATATGTTTTGGCACCTATTTAATCGCATAGAAATAAAACTGAAATTCTCTGAGAAAAAAATTCTTAAACGAATTAATACTTAATGTCAGGCTTGTTAATCGAATCGAATCTAGATCTCTTTAATCCAGGATCTACCTTTTTTTAAAAAAAGGATCACGTTTTCTTATTTTAGAAATTCCTGAAGTAAATTTATGTGATGCAAAATTAACTAACATAAAAATAAATTAAATATGATGTAAATTTATTTATATATTTATAATCCAAATTAGTCTTTAAATAATAAAAATGATAAGTTACTATCATTCATACATACAAGCCTTTCATTAAGAACATATTTAGCTTTGCCAAACAAGCGCTCCCCAAGAACGCTTGATGGCAAAAGCGTTATATTTTTTTATGTATCAGTTTTTAAAATATTAATTGAACTATCATTTGAATAAAAAAATTATTAAATAAAAGCACATTTTGCAAAGATTTTTTCCTTATAAGTTTTTTTCTATAAATTTGAATAAACATCTGCATGTGGCTGATCGCATGTTTATCAAATGGATAATTAACTTTTAATTACCAAAAGAATTTGCAGCAGATTGATATAATCCAATTAAGCTTAAATTTTGGGTGAATTATTATTGTTAATATGCTACTGTCCTCACAGTGAAGGGAATTATATTTTAAGATATGATAATGACATTATTATACGGAGTTGAAGAAAAGGTAAAAAGGTCTCATTTATATCTGTCACATTATTTTTAATTTAATGAATAATTGTAGCCTATAAATCAAATTTTTTTTAAATAAAAAATAAATTCATAAAAGGATCGAATATTTAACAAAATTCACGGTCCTCAATTTAAGAGAAAATCATAAATCCATGTAAATTGTCTAAATTAGGGTCGTATCCAGGATCGTCGATTCTTTCTCAGGGATCAAACTGAAACTCTCAGATTAAAAAATAAATGGCTCAGAACTAGTTACTTAATTGCTCAAAAATATTTTTTCTTCATTATATTGCTTTAACCCCCCCCCCCCCCCGTCTTCCCCACTCCCGTTGTCGTAGTTCTTGCCGGTTCCTCAAAATAAAAATTACTGGTTTATTTTAAAAAGTGAAAATTTTGATTTGTAAGTATGGTTTTGAAATAAAAACGGAGTAAATTAAACATTCAGAAATCTTTCACATAACATCCTTGCTTGAAATGTTAGAAAGTCAAAATTCTCCTAAAGATATAGTTATGAGTAAAAATTGTAATGTTATCAGTGGATCAAAATTGCAATGTTATCAGTGGATTTTTATATTAACTTTTATAAGATACCATTATGAAATATTGTGTTAGAATTTTAGCTTTTCCACTTTATATCACCCTGATCCATATAAATAAATAGCTCTTTTTCTAAATTTTATGCTAGAATCTTTTTAATCCCACCGCATTCACCTTTAAGAAATAGAGTGTTTAGCGTCAATGTGTAATCAATCGATCTTTTTATTATGCCAAGATATTTTTAACCCTTAGCCCTTCCATACCTTATAATAAATATAATTCCTTGTGGTCTTGGGTAAAGATATTGTTATTTATTAAGAAATCGGTTATTTTTTTTAAAATAACATAAACCACCTTGCGAAATAAATATCAGAGATCTGCAGGGGTACAATTTGCACGGCCTGGCCCGGATTTTTTTAAAATATATTCTTTTAATTTTTATAATGCAATTTTAAATATTTTATTATATATATATGGCCCTTCCCGGGTATATTTAAAAAAATTCGGCCTGGCCTGTGTGGCCGGGTTTAGGGCCCGGCCTTCTGTTTTGTACTTTTTAAAAAAGTACGATATATCAATGAAAATAGTAAAATTATAATTGCTGAAGGATAATAAAAATTTTTAGTGATATTCGCTGAATTAAATATTCATAAAAATATTAGGAAAAAAAAAGTTTAGAAATTTGATCCCGGAATAAATTTTACTAATTTTAAGGATTACAATACTAAATAAATGAAGAATTAATTATTAAAGTGAGTATCAATTTTTAGGCCGACTGATATGATGTTGTTTTGACGCCATATAAAATTTATTAACTATTATATCTTTGTCTATAGCTGGATTACACATTGTTTTCTACTTATTTTGCTAAATTAAATAATCTTGTTTTTGATAGTGAATTACGAAAATTAAGTTTTCGCGAAACTACGCTCTGTCATATGTAAAGCATGTTACTTGTTAAATGAACAATTGCGATAAACATAGCCAAATTATCTATAGTTTGCTCGAAATCAGAAAGTTTTATTCGAGAATGATTGATTTAAATCATGATTATATTTTGCTTTCAAATGGTTGGCACTTAGAAATAGTTTGCTTAGAAAAATTTTAAAGATTTTGTGGGTTGAAAATTTTTTATTTTTAATAAATATGATAACAAATAATTTTCCCAGTTGATTAATGATTTTATCAATAGATGTAATGTAAATACTAATAAAATATTTATTTTGATTATTAAACAAAATTATTTTTGGAACTTTTTCGTTTTTAAATACCCTACTATATATTAGCTATATCTTTCGCTTTCGTTTTAAACCTTGAAAAATCATTTTTCATTTTTTGTATATTTAAAAAAATTTGAAATTGTTCATTATCTTGAAATGCGTTGCTTAAATTTATTTAAATTTTCAAGTTTTATCTTTATGGAAGTTGCTTCGTCTTTCCTCCTTTTCTGATAGTTAATGATATAGATGATTATCCTTAAAATTGAAGTAAGTTATAGAATTTTGGATCTCGCTCATGTTTAAGTGTTTTAATATAGAGAGCCCCTTAGGCCCTTTGATTTTTGTAAAAATGGCTTGGGCCCTCCAGCTAAACCGGAGTTTATTTGCATTATTGCAATGAATGAAGGCCAATAGCCATTCAAATCTTTTTAAGCTTTTTACTTATTATATTAAACGCATATTTTTCATAAGATTTCGCGTGATGCACCAGTTGACTTTGTAATTGAAGTTTTTAGGCCCATATATTTTGCTAAAAATAATCATATTTCATCAATTTAAAATTTCTGATGAGCCAGATCGAGAAGTCTAAATTTTAAAACTAATTTTTTATATTTTTAAATTGTGGGCTGAAATCTGTATAGAATCATTTTAATCACTGATTTTACAAATTAAGTTATCCTTATAGTTTTTTTACAAAGGAATTTGTGAATTAGGCTTCACATAATTTGAATCTTGTTTTAGATGACGCTTTAACACAAATATTGGCGAGAAACAAGATTTCTATGATTTACAAAAAAGTACATTTTTTAGTAAATATAAATAATTTAACAAGACTGGAAAGATTTAAGAGCTTAATCTTTCAGGAAACTAAAAGATTTAAAAACTGAATGTCAATAAGATGGTCAATCTATATATGGTGCAATAATATATATTTATATATCATTGGCCAACATTAAAAATAGTAATATTTGAGTAATCGATTTGTTGATTATTTTTGGGTAATTTCAATTTGTTGATTATATTTGTTTAAAAAAATTATTTTATAATATAACTATGCCTCTATAATTCAGCAAAGTCTCAAAGAAATTTTTTAAAAGGGTATTATGGTGTAAACTGTTGAAAGCTTGAAATTTAGTTTATGTAATATATCGGGTGGTGGTTTTTTAATATAATATATTGAAATTTTAAAGGGCCACTTAAGTTTTTCGCGGGGGAAGGGCGTAGAGATTGTCGGTTATATTTAATACTGTCATAGCTGCCTTATAAAAATATGATAGGGATCGGACCAAAATTTTTTTTGATTAAATAAACATATTCCGAAAACAAAACAATAAAGAAAAGAAGAAAAAACGATAATTATTTTTAATTTTCCGAGCCTACAGTCTAATATGGGCATGGGTTAATATGTACACGAAAGTTTTATTTAAAATTTTTAAAAATTGCGAAATTTATGATTGAACAAATAATGTTCATTGAAATAATTATATATTGATAAGTAAATTTATTTTAAAAAGATCAAAAGATTATTAACCTCTGTTAATTTATAAGATTTTAACTCCTTCTCGCGAAAATTAAGTTAGGATAACACTCAAAATCATTCTTGTCTTAATTTTTAATATTTTGAATTGGATTAACATGATTGAATTTATCAAAAAACCTAGATTGCTATATTGATAGGAAACTACGATTATTCGCCTTTATTAAATTCTCTGGAAACTGTCAAAAATGATTGTAAAACGTTAGCCGCTCGACTAGATGGTTTAGGATTTAAAGTTTTTACCTATTTAAATTTAAATCATCGCGAAATGTTAGAAAAAATTAAAATATTCATTCACACATTGAAACATTCGTTTAGCTCAAGAATGTATTTCGTGTTTTATTTCGGCGGGCACGGCTTCGAAAAGAACGGTAAAAGTTTTTTGGTTCCTATTCAAAGAGTTAACAATGATAATACCCAACCTTTAAACTCAATTTCGCAAGATTTAAAAAACGAATGTATATGCGTAGAGCGGGATGTTTTGTACAAACTAAACGACGGAAAAAATAACCCTTCTTTGATAGTTTTCTTGTTGGATATATGTAGGCTAGAAGAGATAGGATTGGATCATTTGACATTGACAAATCAACATACCGAAGATTTCGCCAATCAACATTCTTTAAAGTTTTTGAAAAATGTTAATTTAAAATTTATCTTTTTAACTACTGAGACCAAAAAAAATTTAAGCGCTTACTAGTTATCAACTTAATAAATAAGAAAATATTTGTTTACCCCTAATAAGAAGAATAAGATATATTTGAAGGAATAAATTTAGTAAGCCACAAAGATTCATGTTAATACTAAGCGCTTGCTGAATATTAATTTTACAGTAAGTGAAAAATAATTTCCTATGAAAAATCCTTCAATTTTGGTGATGAAGAGGGATTATTTTCTATATTTTTAAGAAAATAATTGATTCCAATTTTACATTGCTCAAAAAAAAATTTTTAACTATAAAATTTTTGTATATTAAATTACAAAACATTTAATTTAGATTTTTAAGGCTTATTTCTTTACCTGGTCACAATTAAATGCGGATTATTTTTTTTAAAAATTATTGTCTAAATCTAGCCTTGTAAAACAATGTTATTATACTGTAGAAATTTTTTTGAATAACGATGATTTATCAAAAATATATCCTTCCTAAATTCGCTACTAATTTTATCTAATTGTCCTTTGCACGAGTAAATTTTTATTGTTTAATTAGAATATCATTTTTTCATTTGTAATATTTAACCTTTTTTTAAATTCTCTTGCCCAATAATAACTTTCTTCAGGTTTGGACCCTTTGATAAATATTTTTTGATTTATTTTTCGTTAACCCAATTATTAGGTTACTATGACAATTTTTTTTAAAAAATTGATCTTTAAACAGAACTAATTTAATTTTGTTGCACCTATAGAAAATAATCCGAATGAATTTATTATATAGCAGAAACATCTGCTTAATCGCAACCACAAATGGATCAAATTATTGTTAAACCTAATATAATTAATTTTTAAAAAATCACCAAGTTTCCGAATAAACAGAATCTTTATATTATTTAAAAAAGTGATATTTTTCTTTTGGTTAAATGTATCAATAACATACTTAATGTTTATTTAACTTTAAAATATAGCAATAATGATGTGAATCTCGCTAATCCCATTATGGACACTTTAACGTCTGCAAATCCATGCGGAAGCGATTTGGAAATAGGTGGTAATTACATCTTCGGTTATGCCACCAGTATAAGTAATAGAGCCTTCGAAATGGAAGGCCAAGTCAATAGTATTTTTATGACCCACTTGCTCAAGTTCATCAGTTTAGCTTTACCGATTGAAGAGATTCTAAGGCTTACACGGCAGAGCGTTTTTGCGACAGAACCCTTGGCTAAATCAAATAATCAGTTTCCCGAAATCAGGAGTAATTTATCTAAAAGCTTTTCGTTGGCCGATAAAATTGTTCCCAAAGAGCCTTAATCAATGAAAGATTATTAAGAGAATGGAAGATCGGTATTAAATATATTGGCGGAATACATTTGTTAATTATAAATAACGACACATTTTAAATTCTACTTTACGGATGTTTAAATATAGACATTATCAAGCGAATAATAGACGGGAGAAAACGAGATATGATTAGCTCAACTTATTAATTTTAATAATTTCCTTTTACAATTAATAAAAAATCATTAAAGATTATTAAATAAATATTTTTGGAATATTAGAGAATTTATAGAGTTGCTAAAAGATGCCTTACAAATGTATCTAAACAGATGCATGGCCTAATGTATCTCGGTACAATTTTCCCATTATTTATTTACGAACAATTTATTATTATAATGTGAAAATTGAGAAAATATTGTTAAAACTGAAATTTTAAACTAGTTTTCAGCAGTGAGTCATTTCCGTTTATCTTCTTAACATATTTTTGACCACACTGGAAAGTATTTCCATAAGTGCACTAGAAGGTATGCGCTATACTTTATGAATAAGATGTTTATAATAAAATCTTCAAATTAGTGAAATTCAGATAGTCATTTTCAAAAAAATTATATTAAGATGGGTGTCAAATTTGGTATTCAAATTAGTGATCTGCAACGGGCCTAATTTTTCAAGCCCAGCCCGGCCCGAATTTTTTTTAAAAAAAATTCCCGACCCGGCTTTGCCCGAATTTATTTAAATATAGAAATTAATTTTTATAATTACTCAAAATCGTTTAGTTTCAATAAATAAAATAAAATATTTTTATTTTACATAAAAAATTCAATATAAAATTGATAAAGTCCGAATTTTTTTTAAAATATTAAACCCGGCCAGATCCGAATTCGATTATATTAAATAGAATTAGGTCCGGGCCAGATTCAAGCCGGGTACGGGCCGGGCCTAACTTTGCAGATCTCTAATTCAAATATTAAATCTATAGGGTTTTTTTTCTGGAATTTTTTAATCTATAATAAATTCAAAAAAAAGAATAAAATTTAAAAAATATAATTAAACGGGGAAAATCAAATTGTATCAAATAACCGATATAGCTATAAATTCATATATCAATACTTTTATAAAAATGTATCTAAATAGGTGCAACATTATCTAAAAAAATCAGTAGATGATTTGATCGGTCGAATTCAAATAATATGTTTAATGCATATAAAAGCAATATAACAAACATTTTATTTAAAATAAAGAAATTGCACTATCTATATTAAATAGATTTAAGTTTTAAAAAATTTATTCGATTTTTTTACCAGAGACGAGAACCCAAACCCTGAACCCTCAATATTTTGCTGAACCTAAACCCAAACCCTTTTTTAAAATTTAGAGTTCAGGGTTCAAGCTTTTTTTTTAAATTTAAAAAAATTTATATATTAATTTAAAAAAAACATTTTTTTTTCATGTAATTATTTTTGTTATATTTAGTAATTTTTTAAATTGTATTGTAGTATTATAATTATTTTTTATGGTGATACACTAATTAAAATAAATTTTTTAAAAAAATGATGTTTCTGTTATTTTAACTAATTTTAATAAGTCATTATTTTTAAGGTCTCTCCCGAACCCATTTTTTTAGAGGGAGGGTTCTCGTCCCTGTTTTTTATCATGATAATTCTTTTTCACTTTGCAGAGTGTATATGCTTTACCAATATTGAGGTCTTTCAATCGATTTAAATTCTTTTTTATATGAATCTATTTTCATAGAATTTATATTTCTCTTCGAAGATGTTTAAGTAAATGGTTAATAAAATATTGGAAATTTCTCCAAGCTCAAAACTTATTTCAAAAATTTGATGCCGAAAATGATAAATTTTTGGAATTAAAGCATTTCCGATATTTTATTCGTTATCTTAAAAGGCAAACGTTTTAGTTCTTATATTATAGGTTTTATCAGATTCACTTCTTATATTTCCACTCGATGTAAATACATTGAGATATGTATTTTAAAAATACCCTTAATTTTTTTGATTTAAAGTTAAAAAAATTTGAATTATATAGAATTCAAAATCACGAAAATGTAGTGATGTAAAAGCTACTTCAAAAAAGAAACGCGTTACCGTTACTCGTTCTTTTCCGTTTAATGGCGATTTCAAGGTTTACCCAGGTTGGTCAGTTTCCCCTCTGATTTTTCTTTTCCATTTTTAACGGTCATGAGCACAAATATTTGTGAATTTCATTTTTCTATTATGCTGCTATCACTTTTATCCACGTCATCTTGGGCCTTCCTCTAGGTCTTAATAGGAAAACATTAAAAATTGTAAGATTGCCAAAGATAATTTTTCAATTTCTTATCTTTTACTGAATTATCATTTAAAGAAATCAAGAAAAATATTTAGGTTCAGTTCTCTAAAACAATATTGCTTCATAGTTATATTATATATTTATTTAAACAAAGTTTTTTAAAATCACTATTTTATTCTTTAAATTTATTATTAATTTTATACTAAAACAAGAAATACAAGTTTATATACATGCAATAATTCAAAAGAATATTTTCGACATTTAATTTTTCCTAAATGTAGTTTAAATTTACATATAAAATTTTAAACGCTTAAAATATTTATATATTTTTTATTACATTGTTCATTGTCGAGACATTTATTTTATAGTGATTTATATGCCGGTTTTTTGCCTCCCCCCCCCAACGTCGTCCTTAGAATATTTCTGTATAGGCTGTCTTGTCCTTAATAATTTTTTTATGAGGAAAGGACATACAAATTCGCTGAAGGATAGAATTTAACTAGAGTATATTAAATCAAATATTTAAAAATTAATGTAGAGACGCTCAAATTTTAATCTAATTTCTAATAAAAATTGTAAGCTTCCGGTTCGGTCTGTAATGATATTTGCACAGATTGTCAAGCTTAGCCCAAAGCGAGGATCCTTTTGGGGTTCTCGAGAGGGGTGGTGCTAATGCTGTAGTCAAAGAATAGATAAAGATACTCAAAAATATGAAAAATTTGAATTTAAACAGACAGCGAACGAACCTTTATAATTTATTGAACCGTAATAGAACCCTTTTACCAAATTCGTTAAAGCAAACAGAAACTTTATTAATTTCCTTAAATTAGTTTGTAATCGTTTTTTTAAAATATCTTGATTAATTCAAGACTAATTTTTTGTTTAGAGATAAGACATATTTTATTATATTTTTAAAGAATTTGATCAATAATATTAAGCTTATACTTAGTTCAAAAATTTTTTCCTTTAAAATTTAGATCTAACTAAAATATGTAATATTTGAAACAGTAAAAGAGTCGTATTCATTTTGCCCCTGAACTATCAAATTGAATAACTTTGTAATACTATATTTAGCACATAAATAAACTATTAAATCAAGTCAACTTTCCTAAATCAAGGATATAACTAGGGATGTAAGACAGGGGAAATTTCCCTGTAATATGTTTTTTGCTAAAATCATCATGATTTTTATAATATTTACATTTTTCTAATTTAAAAATGGTCTTATGATAAAATAAATACCATTATTATTATATTTTATAAATATATTTTTCTTCGTAGTTCATATCATAAGTTATAATTGTTTTTATTTTTGGATATATGTTCATTTCCTTATCTCCAGAGATCGGAATTTTAAAAATCAACACCACAATAACTGACGATGTAACAATATGAAAAAGGCATGGGCCATTGTAAAAATAAAATATGGATTAAATCTACTTCTAAAGGATATAGCAAATGAGATATTATCGATTCAAATTTTAGTCACACAGCTAAAAATATCATCAAATACGTAAAATCTAGCACTTATATTAACGTTAAAAGAAAAACAACTCCTAGGAAACAATAATAAAATTGTTTCCTTAAAGTTGCTTAGGCATACTCGTTGGTTGGACAATCTTTGTTTTGATGATAAATAGCTTGTTAAAAAAATAATGATATTCTATAGGAAGTGGCAATTCTTAATATATTTACTGATCAAGATAAGAGACTTTTCTTCTCGATAGCGATGGATTTTTAAATGATCTAATGCAAGTATACAATTTTATAAAAGTCATATTTACACAATTAGAGATAGTGGATAAAGTCAATTTATCTGATGTCCCACAAGCATTTATTCATATCAAGGTGACATTTAAAGTTTATAAAACAATATATCTATTATTGTAGAACGAGATTTCAGAAATTGAGCAGTTTATAAAAAGCCGAAAAAAATTTTGTTGACGGGACTTACATTATGCTGCTAATATATTTGACCCAAGGTTTTGCGGATTTAATTTGAGACAATGAAGTTGCAAAGAGGTTGGATATCATTAACCGATTTTCTGGATATTTAGATTTAGATACTGCGAGAACGGGAAACCTATACAAATATCGTGCAAGGGAAGATTTTTTTAATATGGCAAGTCTTTGGCAAGGCAAACATTTATAGATCCAGTGATTTTGGAAAGGTCAAATACTTATATATTTTAGTAAACAATAACTAACTCTTTTTCTAATCTTAAAATTGTGTTATGCAATATATTATTAGTTTTATGTGCAATCAATACATATTGACCCTAGCCATACGGATTTTATCAATGCCACAAGTGCAGCGTCCGAAAGATTATGGTCCTCCTTTGGAAATATTCATTCGAAATCTAGAAATAGTATAAAAAATGATAAGGTCCAAAATTAGTATTTATAAGAGCCTATCTATTTTATGGGAAAAGAAATTTCTGCAAATGAAAAAATGCTGGATTCTAGAATTTCAAGCTTTGATTTGGAATCATCTTCTACAAACGATGATAACTAACAAATAACTCAAAATTAAATGTTTAAATATAATGTTTATAATCTATATTCTTTCAATAAAACATGAAAAAAAAATCAATATTGAACTGTAAAGTATTATAAAAAAGATAGTTTCCCGTTTTTTCCCCAAATTTCTCTGAAAATTTCCCCGAAATATAGTTTAGTTTCCCAGGATATTTACAACCCTAGATATAACTATATAGCTTTCAAAAATGAACGATCTGAATCAGTGGCGTAGCTACGAGGGTGGTTTTCGGGTTTGGACCCCTCCCAGTTTTTTTGAGATTATACGTTCAAAAGACTTAAAAGTGATTTTATATGAATTATATTTTTCTGGTTTTGATGTTTGTGGAAGGATATTATATTACTATTGAAATCATTCTGTATAGTATTATAAATTCATTGAGAATAATCTACTAAATTATAATAACATATTATTGATGCATTTAAAAAATATATTTATTATATATTATCGAAGATATGGTTATGATTTGTAAGATAAACCCGGCCGGGGTCTGGGGGGGGGGCGAAGCCCCCCAGCTTTTATACGTATGGACCCTCTCTAAGGATAATTCCTAGCTACGCCACTGATCTGAATCCAAGGCAAAAAATGATAAAACAAAACATTAATATAACAGGTTTTAATTATAAAAAAATAATTTTCATTCAATAATTAAACAATAAATGTATTTTCGTGGATCAAGCAGTAGAAAGAAAAAAAAATAATGGATATTTATTCAGTAGCTTCTACCAAAAAGTGTAAAAAATTTAGGCTTGTTTGAACATGCTGCTCTAATACATTTGTGCGAATCCTTGATCTGTTCACATTGCTTGAAAGGTATACACAAGCTTTTTGCTCCCATTGTGGAACCAGTAGCTTCACTTGTATCTTCGCTAATTAAATACAAATATCACAAATAAAATACACAATTTTTGATAATTAAATTAATAATAAATTTGATGTAGAATCTATTTTATTTATAATATTTAGACCTGTGCGCTGTCGGCGATTAAGATGAGCCATGCCACACGGCTAGCCGTCTATTTTTTATAGTGGTGGCATGGCGTGTAAAATTTTTAACAAATAGAATTAATATAAATACCTTAAATATAAATTGCTCTACCCGTTGGCGCAGTACATTAATTATGCTAGAAAATATCCGTGGGTTCATAATATGTTACATAAAATAGGGAAACAATCTTTAAAACTTTTCAAAAACTAATGAAATAGCTAACCAACTATTCGTATTACTATCCACCCAAAAGGGATCAATTAATTTCAGGGATATTATTTCGTAGTGAAATAGAAACAAATAAATGAATCTGATATCTCAGATATCATTTGCCTAAAAGAAAAGCAAAAAATCTTGACTATAAGTTTTCACTTACCGAATTGCAATTAATTTATTTTATATAATAAATTTTTATTTCATTAATAAACATTTATTTATAATATTTTGCACATAGGTATTATAGCGAAACTATTTTCATTAGACATCTAAAACTTATAAGGCATCATAGAAATTCAGATAATGAGATTCATGTTGAAGATAATGGACAAACATTAAATTTGTATATAGCTAAAATAGCAAATAAATATTTCCAAGTAACGACTATAAAATAACACCAACAATCTAGAGCAGGAATGCCATATTACTATACCAAAACAGGATGCACTAACCTTTTGAAAAACGCGACTGGACCTTACTAGACTTTAGCTAGGAAAGTACTTTGTATACGTGTAACTGGTAAACCTAGCGAAATGATCTTTTCTACTGCTGGATTAATACTCAATCGTAAAAGAACCTCGTTATGCTCCATCCATCTCTACAAAATAATATTTATATACCACTTAATTTAACAAAATTTGATTCATAATTTATTTATATTTTGTTTGCATTCCAAATGAGAAATATATAATTTTATTTAGGAGTAGGACAGCAAATGATTTAAGAACCAAACTGTATTAATCTTGGAACTAAGAGTGCCCAAAAAATTAAAAATTTAATATAAAATGAATTATAAATAAACATCCTTTAAATGCGTAATGCCGCCAACGCTGCCGTAAATTCATAAGGCGGCGGCTAATCCAGCCCGCCGACGATATTAAAATACCGCTGCTGCCGATTGAGACTTCGGCGCACAGGTCTAATAATATTTTACAATAGAAATATAATATTTCATAGCATAAATAATGTTGACTATTAAAGCTTTTAATTTGCAATCTTATAGGATATGTATTTTATTTTACCTAGCACTTAATTTCTTGATCTCATCCTCGCATTCCATATCTCCACAAAAAGGCGCCTCGATGATGTGCTTCTGATCTAAATGCTGGCAAAATTCGCTCCATTTGTATATCATAACCCTGTTGTTATCAAGTTTGTCTTTTGCTCTGTTAAAAAGTAAAAGTTTATTTAATTAAAGCATACTAATTATTCATGAATATGTTTTAAGAAATTAATAGGGATGTACTAATTTTCTAATATCGCATTGGTCCGAATTCACTTATTTTTGGAATTGTATTATTGGCTAATATTTGTAAATTGGTCAATGCGATATATTAAATTAGTGGATTAAATTCAAAATGGAGATTGATTTCCAGATATCAATAATTATAAAATTTTAATTTACTTTTCAAACAAATTATCGTGTATTTGGGTCAATTTTTCTTGAACGAGTGTAACTATTTTATCGCCATCTTCATTTGCTAAAGTTTGCCTATCGCCTACCGTATCTCGTCTAACTAATACCAAGGTTTTATTAACCAATTCTTTAGGCCCTATCTCTATTCTCAAGGGTACACCCTTTTAAAATTAGTTTAAAAAAATATAATCTTGAAATCTATATATATAATCCTCAAAAAATCAGTCAAATTTAGCCAATAGTTTTCTTTTAAATATTATTTGTCCAATCAAAATGATTATAGCAAATTTGATCAATGGTAATCAACATGAAAACTAAATCCTTCCATAAAAACTATACCACATCACTCTATAACCATATCATTACAATTTTTATTTTAGATAACAAACCCTGTCCTAACCTCATTTAATTATTGTACAGATGGTGATTTATCCGTCATTAATGAACAGAGCCGTAGCCAGGAATTTTCACTTGGGGGGCCAAGTGCTTACTTGTGGGGGGGGCACTATTTTTTTAAAATCAAACAAATAATTACGCATTCATATAAATTTCTTCCTATTTTTATTAAAAATTTAGTAACAAAATAATACTATAATATGAATATACAAAACAAAATAATACTATAATATGCATATACAAAACAAAATATTACTATAATAGAATACGGCGATTTTTATTTTTAAATTTTAATATAAATGAACTAAAAGATAAATTCTGCGTTATTCTTTTTTCATACGCCATTAATACTTTAATGTAGAGAACGAGGCCTCACAAGAAGCCGTTGATATCCCAATGATTATCGCTGCTGAGTAGCATTTATATAATTCTTTAAATGCATGATTATATTTTGTTTTATACATAATATGCAAGATATTTTCAAAATTATGATTTTCTTTAGCTTCCGAAGCTAGCAATCCTTTTGCTATCTTCATTTCATGATGCAGTGTTTCCATATTTAAGTTTAACAGGGATTTTAATGGGGCCATTTTATCTGATAAAAAATAATCAGGGTCAAGGGGGGACAATGTATTAAAAGATTAAAAAAGATAAAAATCATCTTCTGTAAATCGGTCTAAAAAACGATCCACAAAGTTATCTATAATTTCATAATATATCCCTTTTAAAGAACTCCAATTGGAGTCTTTTTCACAATCGAATTCTAGTTTGCTATCAACTAAAAAATCTTGGAAATTTTTAGGCGTTTTACGTACCCGTGATGATTTTTGGGGAGTAAGATTAAATTTTGATAGAAGTTTTTCAGCCTTAATCATAATCAAAGCAAAAGAATTATCATTTATTTTTTAATATATTGATAGTAGAATCAATACAATTTTTAGCATCCACTAGATTAGTACCTACTGATTGTAGATACTTATTTAGTGGATCTATTGTAATTAATATCTCATAAATTATGATGGCTAATATAATGTAATTTATATTAATACATTGAGATAAAAGACCAGAGGCTTCGACTGAATCATGAATTGAAACCTCTGAATTAAGAGTTCTATTAGAAAAGTAAAATAATACTTCACCAATAGCCTCAAAATTCTCATAAATAATGCGAGATGTTTCCAAATGACCAGGCCACCTCTGGTCTAAAAGTCTCTTAAGGGTGTGGCCTGTATATTTACAGGATACGTTAAAACGCCTGAAAAAATTATACAATGCATTTGATAAATTAAAAAAATTAGAAATAATAACAATATTATTATACCAATTTTGAACCACAAGATGCAACTTGTGGTTGTAGCAATGTATAAAAGGAACATTTTTATTAATTTTTTTTTGAAGAAGTGTTTGCACTCCTCCATTTCGGCCAGACATAACGTTTGCACCATCATATGCCTGGCTTATTATATTAGCTGAATTAATATTTAGATCATTAAGTTGCTTTAAAATGCAATCTGTAATGCTTTCAGCAGAAAGACACTCTAAATTAATGATTCCTATTATATTTTCTTGGATTTCTCCAGAAAAAATATAACGAATTATTATGCTCAGGTTTTCACAACCTGAAGCATCTTTTGTCTCATCAGCCTTAAGACAAAAAAAGGGCATCTTGCTTTTATTATATTTGTCTGAAATATGTTCAAGCACCATATTTGCCATAATGAATATTACTTCGTTTTGAATCTGTGGTGATGTATACTGGGCATTTTGGGGTATAAATTTCATAATTTTATTTAATTCAGGGTCTTTTTGGATGGTGTAGGAAAATATTGCTATAAATAGCCCAGAAGAATAAATTATGTTCTCATCTTTTGCAGCATCCGTAATATTTGTTGAACCAGTCCCACGGAAAGGTAGCTCTTGTATGCTAAGAAATAGCATCAAATCAAATATTGATTTAATATAATATTGATTATGATTAATTTGATCACCTCCCAACATTTTAGTTATTTCTGTGCCTTTGTTTATATTTTGATTTTTATCATACAATATTGTAATTGAATTTAAATGAGCTTTTGAGCTCTCGTGTTTTAGCAGTCCCTTCTTGGCAGCTAACGCATTTTTCCAATTTCTGAATCCCGTTTGTCCAAATTCATCACTTGGATTACACAAGTATTTCCTACATGGAAAACGAAAGGCAGCGTCAGCTTCTACATTATACTCCAACCAGTCTCGGCCTCTATACCATGATTTTTGAAATGATCAGGTATGCAGGATAATAAGGACCTACGCCTGATATTAACTCCCCTGCAAGTTTTTAATGTTATATATATATATGTTTATTTTATATTCACCCAGATACTTTCAACTGATATTTCTATAACCACTACCACATTCCCTATGGCACCTCTACCATGCATATTTCGACATATATTTAATGACCACCACTCACCTATATTAGATATCGGAAACATGACAGAAATATGTGCCTTCTGCAATGCTAAAATGTGGAATGGAGAAAAATTATCAAAAAGCTCATGTAGAAATATTCAGTTTTCTACATGTTGCTTGAATGGGAAGGTAATTTTATTTAAAACTTCCCAATTACCACCAAATTTATTACGTTTATTTACCAAGGATCATTGTTCATCATCCCACTTTTTAACAAACATAAGAGCTTATAATTCCGCACTGTCATTCACTTCATTAGGAGTTAATATAAATAATAATTTATCCAATTCACGATCAGGTAATTATACCTTTCATTAATGGACAGGTTCATCATCGCATTGGTTCACTCCTACCAACATTAGGGGAAACACCTAAATTTGCCCAATTATATATACATGTTGGTATAAATGAGATAGAAAACAGACATAACCAGGTTCCGTTTTTAGATCGTTGTCTTTTAATGGAATAGCAGGATATTGTTCACACCTACAACCCTTTGCTTCTCAATTTTTGAGAGTATCTTCTATGATCGCTAATGGCGTTCCTAACATATCCTTAAACTTAAATTAAAAGCAAAGAAAAAAAATGCCTATTCAACAAACGCCTTACCCGTTCTAGAGTTACTGGTGGCCAAGGTAATAAGGAACTGTGAACTCGAGGTTTATTTTGTTTTTTATCTAATGTTTTATATCTATATGTTTATTTTATACACCCAGTTGCCTCCAAATGATATTTCTATCACCACTACCACAATCCCTTGCCACCTCTGCCTAATTTTTAACAAATATAAGCATTTAATTCCACTATCATTCACCTCACTAGGAGTTAATATAAATAATACTTTATCCGATTCCCTGATGAACTTTCATGAATATTTAGAGGGATGTTCAAACGAGAAGGTGTAGTGCGGTCAATTTCATTAGCATTATTAATGGGAAAATATGCTGTAGTTTTGTCATGACGACCGTTTTATGGTTGAGTTGACAATGTCGTTCATGATTCTATTTTAGAGGGGGATACCAAGACTGACACTTTGGCAGAAATATTATTTTGCGTTCTTTTTTTACCAGTAGCCCAGGGCCTCAGCTTTATCAGGACGCAATGAGTGTTGTACACTGCTTTGGTAATCCCTCATTATTCATTACTTTCACCTACAACCTTAAATGGGATGATATTATACATTATTTCTTCTGCAGACTGCCCAGATTTATTTTGTCGCTTTTTCCATCAAAAATTAAAATGTCATAAAGGATTTGCTCTTAATTTTACTAGACGCACAAAATAATAATTAATCCTCAATTACCTAAATTTATATGGCAAGAAAAACACATTTCTTAAAAAATATATAAATAAATTGCATATAAGTTTCATTAGTATTGAATGGCATTTTTTAAATAGATAGCATTTTTTTTGTACTTAATATAAAGATATAGATAGCCCTCATCAAATTATTTGATAAAAGGAGTTAACCCACTAATTGGTAAATCCGAGATTTCCCCTTCATGTGATGATAAATTATTTAACTATCTCCGGGTTTGGGAAAAAGTTTTGAAAATTAATATAGGTTGGACTGGGCTTGGGAAATATTCCTCAAGATTAATATTTGCTTGCACCTGATTTGGGAATATCTTTTACAAATTATTATGGACCGGGCTAGGAAAAAATTTTCAAAATTATTATGGGTTGAGCTAGGCTTGAGAAATTTTTTTTTAAAATTATAAGGTCTTGGACACTTGGAAATTTTTCCCAAATATTATGAGCTTGGACCTGGCTTGAAATTTTTTAATGTTAAATGTTAGTCTTATGTAATCAGTAATATATTTACAAAGAATTTTGGTATTAGTTACAAGCTCATTTAAATATATTTTGACTCAAATAATAGCTTCCACTCTTAGTCCTAATGGGTTGGACTCAATGACATTGCTTGGACCTGACCTAAATGGGAAGGAGGGGGGGTTTAAAAATAATATAAATTGGATATGATTTTTAAATAAAAGGTAACATCTTTCTTAAAAAAACAAATAAAATTCTCATTCTCCGTCATTTTTGACGGGCTATCTACTAGTATCAAAATATTATCCATAACGACAACAACGTTATAGTTCCTAGATGCAATGCAAGTGAGAAAAATAATTTAGATTAGAAAAAAAATGAGCTAGTAAATCTTTATAGAGATATTCATAACTTGTGATGTATAATAGTGCTGGTAAAAGTTCGTCCTATTAAACAATTCAATCTTCATAGTACCTCAAAAAGAAGCGTCCATCCCAAGGTAAAAAAAGACCGGTGTTTTTATGGCTAATATATAATCGCTCAAAATTAAAACTGAAATGCCCAGAAAAAAAAATTCCTTAGCTCAGAATAAATAAAAATGCACAGATAAAAATCTCAACTGCGATGAAAAAATACTAATTGCTCATTCAGATTAAAAAATGAATTGCTCATAAAATCGTTTTAGACTTTAAGAAAAGTATATGTGAAATTCAGTAATTCTGAGCTTTAAGTATATTCTTTAAATTCTAAGCAATTAAGGAAAATAAATCCGAGCGTTTCAGTTTTTATTCTGAACGAATAATATGTCAATGTTAAATTTAATTATAAAAATTATTTTAATCTAAAATATAAAGATACATGGTCATTCTACGTCAAATGAGCAAAAAAAATGATTTTCGGCCGACCCCCTTCGATTTTTTTAAAATTTGGTAAGCAAAGAAAGGTTAGTGTAGTTAAGAAATAGCCAAAATTTTCCTATCAGGTCAATTCAGCGAAATTTTTATCGCGAAACTTTAATCGCGAATGTCGTTTATCACAAAAATTTTTTATAGCGAAGGTAAAATCGCGAAACCAATTCTGCGAATTTTTTTCCGCGAAACATTTATAGCAAAGACAATTTCGCGAAGCCATTGTCGCGAATATATTTCCGCGAAACCTTAACCGCGATTTTATTAAAGCGAATACATTTTAGGTGAAAACATTATAGCAAATTTTTTACCGCGAGTATGTTTGCGCTAAGTTATTATCGCGAGCGCATTACCGCGAAACAATAAATATATTACGAATGCATTTATTTAAAGGAAAACAACATATTATTTATTATTTGATGTTTTTTTAATAAAAAATGATATGCTACTATTTTAATATTATTTTTGTTACACTTTATTAGGGATTTTCATGCCCAAGATTTTAAGTAAAAAATATTTCTTGAAGTTCAAAAAGATTTTTGAACATATTTTGATAAAAATTTTAAATCTTCTTTGTAAATATATCTCTTTTGAGGAATTCTTTTGTGAAATTAATTATAAATGTACAATTTTTAGGTGAAGTCTTTTATAGTTTTTTTTTATCATTTTTGTAATTATCTATTTTTTTAAGTATATTAAAAGAGGTGGGTTTTCTAAATAATTTTTTCAAAATATTTATAGGTTATTTTATATGATCTTTTTAAGGATAATATTTTAATGTGACAATTGTCATATTCGTTATTTATTAAGATTTTTGAAATTTTTTGACTCAAAAGGGTAAAAATATCATTTATATTGTAATGTTAAATTATAAATTCAAATATTCCTTGGAAAAAATGGCAATAATCATAATCGGTATTAATAAACATATTAGATTTTTTTGACGCTAAAGGGCAAAAATATGTATTTTTAACATGTTAAATTAGAATTTCAATTAGGATGTACCATATAAAAGCGACAATTGTCATAATTGTTATTTTTAAAGTTTTTGAAGTAAATGGGCTAAAATAAGTATTGTTAACATGTTTAAATAAAACTTCAGTGAATATGTACCCTAGATAAGTGACACTTGTCATAATCCTTATTTTTAAAGTTTTTTGATGCAAATGGGTAAAAATATAGATTGAAAACATTTTAAATTAGAATTTCATGAAGTAACTCTAAAGGGTGGGAGATATATCTTAATATTAGGGTACCATATAAAAGTGACAATTGTCATAATCGTTATTTTTAAAGTTTTTATAATTTTTTGACATAAATGGGCCAAAAATAAGTATAACACGTTTAAATAAAACTTCAGTGAAGATGTATCCTAGAAAAGTAATATATTGTCATAATCGTTATTTTTTTAAAGTTTTTGAATTTTATTGACCCAAATGGGTAAAAATAAGTATTGCTAGAATGTTTAAATAAAACTTCTATGAAGATGTCCCCTAAATAAGTGACAATTGTCAATGTTGTACCATAGATAAGTAACAATTGTCATAATTGTTGTTTTTAAAGTTTTTTTAAAATTTTTTGATATTTAATATGTTTACAATCTATATTTTTACCCATTTGCATCAAAGATATTCAAAAAACTTTAAAAACAACGAATATGACAATTGTCACTTATCTATTGTTTATCTTAATTAAATTTTAATTTAACATGTTTACAATCTATATTTTTACCCAATTTCATGAAGATGTACCATATAAAATTGACAATTATCATAATCGTTATTTTTAAAGTTTTTTTGATGCAAATGGGCTAAAATATAAATTGTTAACATGTTAGAATTAAATTTCAGTGAAAATGTATCCTAGATATGTGACAATTGTCATAATCGTTATTTTTAAAGTTTTTGTAAATTTTTTGATCCAAATGGGTAAACTATAGATTGTAAACATGTTAAAATTTTTTTATGAATATTTACCATAAAAAAGTGACAATTGTCATAATCTTTATCTTTAAAGTTTTCCAATATTTTTTTGATCATTTAAAAAATGATATTTTGTTTAAATTTTATTGAAATAATTCAAAAAAGTGCCAAATATAAAAATCTTCGATCTTATCTTTTAAAAGTGAGTTAAATATTTGATTTTTAAATTTATATTATATTAATTATTTTTAATATTTAGGGCGCCATATATCAAATGCACAAGATTCTGATTCATATATTCAAGAACTATAAACTTGGTTGAATATATTTTATTAATATTCATTAAATATATGTTATATGGGCAAAATTTTTTATAATAAATTATAAATAAAGTAATAAATTGTGTCGATAGACAATTTCTATAATTGAGTGAAAGCCCCATTTATTGTTATTTTCACTTACAAGATGAATAATCCTTTAAATTATATCAAATAGTTAAAAAAAACAATTAAAAACTGATTAATATATAATTTTATACAAAGACACCCCTTTCGGGAAAATATTTATACACTTATCTAAATTTTTTTATAGATTTTGAGAATGAAGATGGCAGCGTCCCAGATATATATTTTTTTTATAAATATAAAGGAAAAGTTTAGTAATGTCTACTAAAAATTTTTTTAAATTGAAGGTCGTATTATTTCCAAAAAATCGTATTTAGTCCTTATATATTAAATAAAATTGTTGGAAATTGGAAAAAAAAAGTTTTTTTTGTTTAAAAGTAGAATCTTTGTACGTATTTTTCATATTAAATTTGTTATTTACAATTATGTAGTTTTTAAGATATGCTAAATTGAATGAAGGCAGATAATGGTAAAATATACGTCATTTTTGCCACTTTGAACCCTAATATCTTCAAAATAAAATGCTAGGAGGCTTTTGGCTATTTCCTAGTTAAATTGACTTCTTTGCTTACCAAATTTTAAAAAAAACAAAGGGGGTCGGCCGAATCGTGGTTGATCACGGAATGACCCTACAATAATATATATTGAAATAATTAATTTGTCTTTTCAAAAAGTATAATATACAAGAGAGTAAGTTTAGAATGTTAGCTAAAAATAAAATATATATTATCATATTACCTACCTAAGTTTATATTAAAAAAATGAAAAAGAGATATAGCGCCCTGAGAAATTACCCAAAAAGGTCTATCCTTCAGGACGCGTCCGTCTTAAAGAAAAAAGACCACCGTTCAACACAAATGTAAGAGTACTAACACGTTAAAAAACTAAAAGTTTTTCTTCCATTAAATTTTATAAATTGACGAATAAATCATAAAGAATAGTTACAATAAAAAATTATCCCAATACATATAATTCCCTCAATGATAGCTAAAATTTTATAACCAAATTTACCTTAAGTTCCCAGTGATTAAACTTCCAGCCGGGAGAATAATGGTCTCTTGTATCCGCTTTGCATCTAATATCAACGGATTTAAGCCTTTGACAAATATCTTCGCACATTTTCAATAAATTCTGTTTATCTTGCTCTGGAAGAATCGCTGTCAGACCACAAGGGATGATAACAACCTACAATTATTTTTTAAAAAAATAAATAATTGTTAAGTAAAAATAATTTTCATATGATAACATGATGCAAATGCCAGATAGTTGCACATAATATATATTTATAATAAGATATTAATAAAACTGATAGGTATTTATAAATATACAAAAATTGGAAAGAAGAGTTTACTTGAATAGGAGCGATTCTAGGTGGCAGAACTAAACCTAAATCATCGCCATGTATCATGACCATAACCCCTATGGTACGAGTTGTTAAGCCCCACGAGTTTTGATAAACATATAATTGTTTTTCTATATTCACATCATGGACTTCCGTTTGATTGGCAGTAGATGAGACCCAATCGGGATTTTCATAAGTTATATCAAAAATACGCGAAAAATTTTGGCCCAAGTGATGGGAAGTGGCACCCTATTGTTAAAAATAAGTAGATTGAAAAACGAACTGATAGATGAAATAAAGAGATATATTCGGAGTAGAAATGAAAAGAGTGAATTATAACAAAAGGAGCAAAAAGAATAATTTTAACGAAAAATAGAATTGACGAGAAAGAATTTCTGGTAATGTATCCTATAAATATAAATTTTATTAATATGTTTTTAAAAAAATAATGTAGAAATAGGTAATTTTAGTTTTTAAAAAAAGGAAATAACTTAGCTATAAATGGAGAAATCAAGATTTCAATATTAATAACCTGTATGCCTCTTCCAGTGGAATCGATATAGGCTTCAACGGTGGTGGTATAAACGCCACCAGCAAATTTTTCTTTCTCTGTTTTTCTACCCTTTATAACCGGTATAGCCATTAATTCTTCGTACACTCTTGCATATAAGTCTAATATGGTATATACCTTTTGATAAATAAAAAAAGAATTACATTAATTTAATAAAATTCATTGCAGACTTTAACATATTTATGAAATAGAATATGATCCTTTTATACATTCAGATAATTCATTTTATATTGCAAAAATCACCCATCATAAAGATTCATAATTCTTTTTTGATTCAAAATATCCAATGAACTTTTTGATTTTACTTAATTTCTATAAAAATTTTATTTAATTCCACATTGATTTTAATCATCCTTCTAAATAAAAATTAAAGAAAATAATAATTAGTGGTGTATAATTTAGGATTATAATTTTTTTAAATCAAATATATTAATACCAGGGACGTACTCCCTCCAAATTTTTTGCTCCCCTAACCTGACGCCTAGAAAACTATTTTGGCCTCCTAAAATTTTTCCGGCTTAATTTTTTTTTATTAGTTATTAAATTTAAATTCCCAATTAACAATTGAATCTAAATAAAAATACAACATTTATTGACAAATATTTAATTTTTACAAATTAATAAACAAGAGCATACCTATAAAAATATTAGTTATAAAATATCCATTCACTCATTAGTGGCTTAAGTGATGAATTTGGATAAAAGGGATTTAGCAATTGAAATGCGTTGGTTGCAAAGAAGGTACTGCTAATGAAAGCACAAAAGCTCATTTAAATTCAATATATGGCATGATAAAAATCTCAATATAAATAATGACACTGAAACAACAATTCGGGTAGCAAATTAACCGTAATCGTTATTATCTTAAATAAAGATTTATTTTAATGATACTTCTTAGCATATAAGAGCTACCTTTTCGTAGAGTAGGTTCAACAAAAATCTCGGAAGCTGCAAAAGATGAATATATAAAATATTCTTTAGGAATATTTTTAGCAATGTTTTCATGTACCATATAAAAATATCCTGAATTATAAAATTATAAAATGAATATTCAAAATGCAGAATATATATCACCTCAAAATCAATTCTAATATATGGCAAATATGGTGCTGGAATATATCTCAGAAAAATATAACAAAAGTGTCTTAAGGCTGATGAGACTAAAGACGTGTCAGGTTAAATCTGAGCATAATTATTAGTTATATTTTTTGTGGAGAAATTTAAGAAAATCTAATAGAAATCATTAATTAATGTCTTTCTGTTGAAAACATTATTAATTGTATTTTAAAGCAACTTAATAAATTAAATATTAATTCATCGAATATGATGGTGCAAACGTTATGTCTGGCCGAAACGGAGGAATACAAACCCTGCTTCATAAATATATTAATAAATTAGTGTCTTGGTATAAGTTTTAATTTATCCAATGCACATTGTATAATTTTTTTAGGCGTTTTAACGTAACGTGTAAATATGCAGCCATACTCTTAAAAGACTTTTAGACCAGAGGTGGACTGATCATTAGAAACATCTCATATTAATTATGAAAATTGTTAGGCTATTGGTGAAGTATTATTTTACTCTTCTAATAGAACTTTTAACTCAGAGGTATCCCCTCATGATTCAGTCAAGCCTCTGATATTTTGTCTCAATGCGTTAATATAAACTACATTATATTGCCTATTATAATTTATAAAGTAATAACAATAGATCCACTAAATAAGTATCCACAATAAGTGTTACTAATAGAGTGGATGCTAAAAATTGTATTAATTCCACGATTAATATATTAAAAAATAAAAAAGTTATAATTCTTTTAATTGATAAGAATTATAGCGATAAGAATTATAGCGGAAGAACTTATATCAATATTAAATCTGATCCCTAAAAAATAATCAAGGGTACATAAAACGCCTACAATTCTCTAAGATTTTTTAGGCGATACCAAATTGCAACTTGATTGTGAAAGGACTCTAATTGGAGTTCATTAAAAAAGTATTATAAAATTATTATAGATAGATTTACACAAGATGACTATAATCTTTCATCGTGTTTTAATATATTGTCCCCCCTTAATCCTGATTATTTTATATCAGATAAAATGGGTCTATTTGAATCATTATTAAACTTAAATGTGAAAACGTTACATAGAAATAGCTTAAGGATTATTAGCTGCAGAAGTTAAAATTTTAAAAATATCTTAAAAATTATGTATAAAAAAATATCATTTTGCATTTAAAGAATTGTATAATCGTTACTCAGCAGCCATCATCATTGAGGTATCAACGGCTTCTTGTGAGGCCATTCTTTAATTAAAAAGAGTTCTACTGAGCACTAGAAAATCGATGAAAGATCGACGTAAATAAAATTTAGTATTTTAATGGCCTATGAAAAAATAACAGAAAATTTAGTAATTCCTTTATGTTTATATTTTAAAATAAAAATCGTCGATTATTATTTTGTATTAATATTTACATTTACAAATTTTAAATAAAAATAGCAAAAATTTCTATGAGTGCCTAACTATTTGTTTTATTTCAAAAAAAATATTGGCACAAGTAAGCACTACCCCTCCCCCAGCAAGAATCTCCTGACTACGGCCCTGATTAACAGAATAACCTAAAGACTTATTTTATTATTCTAGTATTCCGAAGAAATTACAATTAGGGTTGGCAAAATTTTTAATTTTTTTAAAATTTAAATAGCGATACACAAATACTAATATTTCAATTAAAGAAGTTACATAAAAATATCCTACATCATAATTTTTTACCTTAGTAAAATATTTCAAGTAAAAAATTAATGCTTCAGTAGATCCGGTAGGAAATTATTGAAAAAATATATATTGATAAGTCATGAGGTAATTTGATATTTTGTCAAATGAAAAGCTTCTTGTCAATCAAAAGTTAGATGATAGGTGTAAACTATTTTTAAAAAAATTAACTAGACGATATCAATGAGTCGGAAAGAAAATCATTTATTTTCTAAAACGTAAACATAAAAGACATTTTGCCCTTAAACTTGTTTGATCATTTGGATCAACATCTTTTAGAAGTTTAAAATATTTTTTGTATGATGAAAATGGAAATTCGATTTTTTCATCTATGATCTCTAAATCCATAATATCTAAAACTATTTTTTATTATATATCCATAAAATGAATATTAATATGACTTACAAGATTTTCCAAAAAATTTTCAATATAAAAAGGAAAACTTGATGTTTAATATTTAAAATGATTAGATAAAAAACCAATAAAAAACTCGGCTAAACATTTAATAATGGATAAATTTAAATTAAATATAATTTCATTTTATTGAATTTTAATTAATAAATATTATTAATATTTAAAAAATAATTTAATTTATTCATTAAATTTAAAGGAGCTGTGAAGCGGCGCTCCTCCACTCCAGCCCTAAAAGGAGCTAGCTCCCGCTCCCCAATTTTAAAAAGGAGGGGCGTTTCAGGTGTTTATGAGAAAATGTAGCGGCGCTCCAGGAGCGCCGCTCCTTAACAACTCTGCAAACAATAATATATTGATCTTTCAATTTTTTCTTGCAGTATTTTGTATTATTTTTAAAGAAAATAAATATATAAAATAGGGATAAATTAATTAATAACCCATAAAATAAACCTATAAAAATAAAAATATGTGATTATTTTGAAATATAATTATGATCTCAATGTGCTATAGCTATTATAGCCTTTTAAAGACATGGAACGGAACTTTGAGTAAATTTATGGAACGTGTATCGGAACCTTCCCGAAAGGTTTCTGAAAGTATGTATAAATTTATTATTTATTTATATTAAAAAATTCGTTTTTTAATACATCTAACAGGTACACAATTAAGTTCTTTTTATTTGGTAATCCTTAAAATGATACACCCTTAAATTTATTTTCTCCGATGAAGATTGGAAAAATGTAAAGCCTCATTAAAGCCGTTAAAGGAATCAAGCTTAATGTTCCAAAAAGAGAGCATTTTAAGAGGTGATTTTATAAATAATGGACCAAATCTAAAATAAGGCTTCAAAAAATCAATTCCCTGTTATCACAAAACTTGATTTCAGCTCTCAACTAAAGTGAATAGATGATAATGAATTATTACTTTGTCCTGCTTTATATCTAGATCCTAGGTTTAAATCTCTTCTCAACAAAGAGGAAAATAGCAATAAATCTATGTTGGCGATATGGGAACATATTAAAAATTTTAAGGATGAAGATTTAAATATATTAAGTAATTCGGATAAATCTTCTGAAGAAGGATAAGGATAAAAAAAAACATAGCAAAACTTATAAAAAGGATGATATTCTATCAACTATAATAAATATATGGATTCTAGATAAATAAATAAAAATTTGTTATAATAATGGGAATTAAAAAAAATAAAAAATTGTATCCTGTATGAATTTCCCAAATCGTATTGGCAACTCTATGTAGCCAGGTAAGGGTTGAACGTTGTTTTTCGAAACTCAAATTTATAACACCACAAAAATATAAATACTTTTTTAGAAAATATAATATCTTCGATGTAATAATTTATTCATTATGATTAAATAAAGATTAATTAAAATAATATATTTAGATATTTTTCTAGGAACGTTCCGAAAGGTGGAACGGAACAATTTTTTGAACAGAATTGGAACAAAACGAGTACGTAAAAATGCCCTTGTTCCGGGCCCCTGCTAAAAAGGCTATATTTGTTATTTAATTTAAGTGTGTTTAAAATATGTTCTTCAAATACATATTTAGTGTTATAAAATAAATAAAACTGCGCTGATAAGAGTTTAGTACTTCATCTTCAGCTTCTTTGTAAGTAGCGAAAGCAGAATGTCCTTCTTGCCATAAAAATTCACGCGTTCTAATAAAAGGTGTCGGGTGTTTGAATTCCCATCTCTACAATTTTTTAAATTAATAATACAATATTAATTTCAATTTATTAAAATGTTTAGAAATGGAGAAAACATACAAGGTAGTCTTAAATATTTTCTATCAATCAACATCAATACAGTTAAACCTTGTCGGAGAATAATAACAAGAGTTTTTAAAAAAAATGGTTCTAGGACCTTGAAATTTAGTTTAACGAAAATTACCTATAGTGAGATTTTACTGTATATATAATAATTTTAATAGAAAATTACCACAATATTGTTCCATTGATTTAGTTTAAGGGGCAAGTCCCGGTAAGATTTAATCCATTTGGCGTAAGCGGGGTACATAACTGTTTCACTAGTTGGTCTAATGGCTATAGGTTCGGCTAGATCGGTATCACCTGATTTCGTAACCCAAGCTACCTTATATATTAGAGCGGAATAATTATTAAATTGTTATCTATATTCTTCATTTTATTATAAATTTTTTGACTAATTATACTTGTTAGTATCATAATTTTTAAAAAAGCATTTTTAAATAATTGTGGAATTATCTTCCAATTTTATGTAAATTATTTCACTAATCCCTCGTTTATATTCTTAAAAATGTCTAAAGCAACAAATAAGCGTCGTCATAAAATGGTACAATGTTATAGATTGTAAAATGTTTTCTTTAAACTAATTATTCAAGAAACCATTATATTAAGCACATTTTTGTGAATGTTTTTTTTCAAATTTAGTACCTCTGGTGAAAAATCGTTGATATGATTCTTTTCCGTCTCTAACGCTTGTCGAGAAACGAATATCGGAAAATAAACGTTGGAAACCCCTAATGCTTTGATAGAGGTATCGAAGAATTTTTGGATTGATTCCCAAATGTTGTAAGACCAAGGTCTCAATATGTAACACCCACTAACGTCGTAGTATTCTATCATCTCTGCCTTAGTAATGACTTGAGTATACCACTCGGAAAAATTTTCAGATTTTCTAACTTCTAAACCCAATCTTTAACCATTATTAACAATAAGGAATAAGGTTCGAGTAGCGTATTATGATTTATGAAATATAGTATTGAATTATAAATAAAATAGTGAAACCACCCTTATGCCGACAAATTAAAAGGGATTACGTGTTAATATTTATAACACTTATGATAGTATATTTTTTTAATCAGGAGTTTGGGCAATAACCGAGTTAAAGTGGGCTCGTGCCCAGGGTCACATTTGAAAGTTTAATTTTTAGGGTATTAAAATTATATTAATAACCAAAAATTATTTGTAATCTACCTGGTAACTTTTTTGATATTTGGATTGTTAATGAGAGTTGGATTCGGTTGAACAGGTGCATTGTCTTTATTCTTTTCTTTTTCCGTAGGCTAATTGTATAAAATAAAATTGCAATAAATAACAAATTATTTATAAGCATAATAAATAGGGCTGCATGGAATTATCGATATCGGATCGGGATGATACTATCAAAAAACTGATCCAATTATGAATAAAAAATAATTTCACAACTAATAATCATAAAAAATAACTATTAATTTGTCTTTTTCCTTGCGATTGCTCTTTGACTTTTCTGATTTTTCTTTAATGTTCGCATCAATCCAGTCTTTTCCACTTAATATTTTATATTGACTTTTGAGCGACAATAATATTTTAATTTCGGAATCCAAGGATGCCTGGTAAAAAAAAATTGAAAAAGAAGAATATTATATCTACTTTATCAAGTTTAGCGGTGATTGTTGATTTTATTTGTCTAATTTTGTCCCCTTGTTGTTTTATTTGAGTGTTCAATGAATTAATCTTTTCTTCATTATCTATTGCAGTCTTAGGATTGGGTTTGGTTGCATTACAATTCTTTTGAAAATATTTTATTTAACAAAAGATATTTTATTTTAAGAGCTCAAAATAGGGTTAGAAATTCTTGATTAGACAGGAAAACAATAATATTATAACTTTGCCTAAAAATTTTAAACTATTTATCATTATGGGATCAAACATTATTTAGAACTTTATTTCATATATTTTCGATATATTTTGTATAATTATAAAATAAAAAATATTTTATATTAGCAGAATCTTTATCGCATGGAAATCCTACTGTTGCACTTTGAATAATTGAATCTACAAAAAAGTCAAACTTAATTGTTTTTATTTTAAATAATGCATTTCAAATATGCAAATTGGTAAACATTTTACTTGCGTAATATTTTCTTTGTTAGGATCTAAGCAAGTAAATCAATAAATTCTCATTAGCCCGATCGATATCGTTTTATACAAATTATTTGTGATAATATGGCCCTAACATCAGCTTCAGAAAGATATGGTTCCAAGAGGTAATAAACAAGCAAAAATGAGTGTAACTACAGGTGGGGGACATTTTAAGGCCCGGTCAATCGAAATTAATTTATGTTTGTGGACCACGTAACGTAATTTGTGAAAAAATTTATATATTGAACGAAGAATATTAATATTTATTTGTCTTTAGCGGAATCTACTATCGTGAGTTTAAGCCGAATATTAAACCAGTTCAAAGAAATTGTGTAAAAGTAATTTTGGCCAATATAGAATAAATATACAAAAAAATGTAAAATTTGACCCCCCCCCCCGGGTGAAATTTTTTGATAATAGCAAATATATAAGATTAAAAACATATGCAAAAAGCCTTGATTATGCAATAATTTAAAACTACAAAATGTAAACATTTATAGGCTATTCATTGAACTGTCTATGCTATCTTTACAATATAAAATAATTATTCATAATCATTATAACGAAGAGGAAGGAAAAATCAAACACGTGCCAATTTTTTATTGTAATATTTAAAAGTTTACAATTATATAAAATAATGAATTTTCTTACCGAAAAATGAATGCTAGAAATATCAATATTAACTTCTGTATTCATGTTTATTCAAATTAAAACGCTATATACATGATAATAAAGCATATGATTTTACTACATAATTTTTAAAAAATAATTTAAATAAATCAGAAATACAATTACTATATAAACGCGTATTTGTTTAAATAATTAAATAAACAAAAATAATTTAAATTAAATTATTAATTAGGTCAAATAAAATGTATAAAATATTTTATTAAAAAACCTTAAACTTAAATAAGATTTTAAAATATTATTCATCAGGTTTGTTAAATAAATTATCCTTTTAAAAGATCGATTTCTGATTTGATCTTTTTTAAAAAATAGGCTTGCGAATCAGGATAGAAACTCCTTTTACCCTTTAGATAAAATATTGATTTTTTAACGAGGCGTTATATTTGTTGAATAGCTCTGATTGCGATTTTATTTTGGCTGGAATAAATTGCAATAAAGTTAATTTAAAAAATTGGGAAAAAGAATTACGTTGGACTTTAAAAATTATGGATTAATAAGAATCGAATTTATTTTGTGTTATTTTAATAAAAAAAAATTAATTCCAAAAATATAAAACCTTAATGAAAAATAAAAAATGAGGCCAAACATTTTTTTATATATTTTTTTACAGCCTTCCAAAAAGTTTTAAAACTTTTAACAAGTTTTGGACGTAACCTTAAATACACAATTTTTAAAATTCGACAATCCAGGCAATTCGTCAAAATTAGGATTGAATCCAGGATCGCGTTCCTTTATTTGTCATCCATCATATAAAAAAAGTCAATATTAGAAAATGAACCCTAAAACTGAGATATCCCTTATGGGTTGACTTAGTTAAAAGGAGTATCAGGAAATGATCTTATAGACCAAAATTTCATTAAGCGCTATATTTGCTACTTGTAATCAAGAACGAAAGGAATCATATATTCCTTATAAGCAGATTTGGCTGGAAGAATGTCTACAACAAATTATATTTAGCAAAAAAAATCGCGGTGGATTGTGTGATTAAACCAAGCATAAATTCGATCTGCTCAATTGGCTCATACTGTATTAGAGACTCCATGCAGTCATGTGAATTTTTCTACACTCAACTCAAGTAGATACTCATAATGCCCAATTATAGGTAGATCAAGATATTAAGTAGATTAGAGCCCTTTAAATTCTTTTTTTGACCCGATTTTAAAAATTTATTTTAAAGCCAGAACCCGGCAACTCAAAATTTTCAATTGAAAAAATATAAATTAAGCAAATTTTTATAAAGTCGAATAAAATAAAAATTGCTTTATCCTAATTTACGAAAATTGTTTTCTATTTTATTTTTTTTAATTTTATTTCTAAGCCCGAGGGGTTTTAACGTAAATGCCATAATAGATGTAAATAGATAATAAAGTATGTTAGTTTATAAAAAACAAATATTTATTTTCCGTTTCAGCAATAGAAGAGAACACGCAAAAATGTAGTCTTGTCAAGGCGAGTGACATAATCAGACTTGCCGGCCCGGCCCTAAGCCCGGAAATGCAGGCCGTATTTTTTACAGGGTTGTGCTTTTGACCAGTCAAATGCGATTCGGTCAATTGACCGATATTTGACCGGTCAAATTCAGATAAATGTTTTTTACGCCAATAGTAACTTTATTTTGAATATATATAATATTTTTTAATTCATTCCATAGTTAATGTTTCGATATCCGTGGCAGAGTCTCTGATTCATCAATATCATTATTTTCTTTAATATTTTTAAACAATCATAAGTTATGATATACTCTTATAAAATTTCCTGTTGTAGAAGTCTTCAATTGATTTCTGTTTTTCGTATGAATATTGCCCCAAACCGATCAACTTCTTTCTGAAGAAGTAGAACTAGGAAATTTTAGTAAAATGTTACCTACTTTACTTAATGGGCAAGGTAGGCAAAGTGCATTCACCAAATTAAGGCCGAAATCGGATTGTTTCTTATGGAAGTTACCACTTTCCACATATTTAGGCTATTAAATATGCCAATTTTACTTCTGAAATTTATTATATCACTTAAAATATTTTGATTATCACCACCTTGTAAAATATCTAATTCTTGTATTATCACATGCTCATCAAATTCAGTACTAGTAAGATGCTCCCCTTGATATTGGGTATCCAATAAATAAGCAGCATTGTGAGCACATGTATTTAGATCATTTTTTCTCTTTTCAAACATAACTTTAATTTTTTTTTTTTCAGATGGAAAAAATATAGAATCATGGAATGATTGGATTATGTGTTTTTCCAAATTCGTCTCGTTTTTTACTTGGGCCAAAGTACATTTAGTCCTTCCACTAGGTAGCTAAAGGTTGGAGTATAGCTAAAAATTTAAAATTTTTCGTCCAAAATATTTTTTCATTTTATATATTATTGGTAATTTTTATGGGGAAAATATCACATACAGCTTCTTTGTAGCTGGTATGTGTTTATTTTTAAAAAATTAACAATTTTTTTAATTATTGAAATATTGCAACTGAAATCGTTCATATTTTAAAATTCTTTTTTAGTAACGATATATTATTATTAACGATATATTCGTATTGTAATAATAGGCTGCTTTCATGTTAACGGCATTATCAGTAACTAAAGAATAAACTTTTACTGGATTCAATTCATGAATTACATTTTTAAATTCCTGAACAATATAATCTGCTGTATGACGATTTTCCTCAGTATTTTAAAATTAGTAGAATACTACAGGCGTCATCACCATAAAATTAATAATACTCTCGTTTCTGATGTTGCTCCAGCCATCTGATACAATTGATAAGTGAGGAACTTTATCTATTATTGCTACTCTCGCCTCCATATCTCCTGACGCTTTGTCTAGAAGATATCCAGCCAGCTGCCTTCGCAAGGTAAAGTGTAAATAGGACGTATTTTTTTAAAGAATTCTTGGATGTAGGGATTTTCAGCGATGTGGGAAGGTAAATTGCTCGCATATACAGCCTTTGCAATCAATTGATCGAGCTTATTTTTTCTTTGGAATTCATTCTATCTATGAAACCGGTTATACAAGATTAAGATTTACATTTAATCACCTTGCTTGTAGATTGATCAGGGATAATGGAATAAATTTTCTTGAGTAACAAGTCAATTTGATAATCATTCGCACTAATTCCATTCCACCCAATTCTTTGTTAGAGCTAAAAGTATTACAAATTACATTTATGTGATTTTTGTAGAGGTTGATATTTTTATATTTGAATAAAATTTTTCCTTAATTATGACCGGGTACAAAGTATAGCTGCTTAATAAATGCTTGACCATTCTATCAACATGGGTAATTTAAAACATCTTGCAAACCTTTCTTGGAAATGTTTCCAAACTTGATGCTTTGGTTTGAGCATATGTATTAAAATTTAACTATAAAAGATTTTGATTATTGTAAAGTTAATTAATCATAATTATTTTACAATTATCGCCAATTATTTAATAATTTGGCTTAATATTATATAAAATATAATATATAACTTTTTACCAGAATTAAATAAATTATTTTGTAAATCTGACCAGAACAAACTAAAAAGAAATTTAATTTATAAATTCAAATGTAGCAAGTGGAAATAAAATAAATGAGAATTAATATAATTTATACTAGGCTAAATATTAAAAAAAATTTAAATTTATTAAAAATGAATCATGACTTAGCTAAATTATTATATTTATTTATTTTAGTAAAAAAATTCTTTTGTTATCGATTACTTCATTCATTATACAAATATATTTTAAAATAAATTGTAAAATAAGAATAAACATGCTTTTAATGCACATTAGTTAATTATATCAAAATATTTATTCGCCAATAATAATTTAGAGTATTTAACCAGCCAATTGACCGAATTTGGCCGGTCAATTGATCGACATGCCAGCCCTGATTTTTTATTTTAAATAAACCTTGGCTGGGTCTATTTTTTTAAAAAATATAGCCATTATTATCTATAAAAATAAAATAAAATACATATAATAATTGTGTATCATAAAACTTCTTTAACACATTCATTCACTTATTATATTATCAATTTCCATTTTTTCATTTTTTAGAAAATATTTTTAGTAAAATATTATTCAATAATCATTATAGGTAATATTAAAATAAACAAAAATACACTCAATATTTAAAAATATAATACAGGAGAGAATTACATATCTTGCCAGGGAGAGAGCGTAAAATGAGTGATACTTATGTAAAAGACTAAATTAAATTACAAATGGAACAGAAAATAAAGGAATTACCATACAAGTGGAATTGAAAGTGCGGAGATTCAAACTCACTTGTTTTACTATAAATGGGAAGATAAAATAATTTCCAAATTTATTGAATATGGATTTCATATTCGTTGAAATCGGTAAAATGCCGAATTCGTATATTTTAATTTTTTTTTAAACTAAGGCCTTAGAAAAAATTTACACACCCTGATAGAAATTCTTTCTTAAAGAAATCCGGAAGAAATTTTTTTTTAAAAAAGATAAGAGCCGGGGCTAAATGTAAACCTAGATAGAGACGGGCCGAAAACATTTTTCAAAAAAAATTAGGGCGGGCCGAAATTATTTCTTCAAATCAGAATGGCCCGTGCAAATATGCAGGTCTCTGGACATAATAAATAAATTATTGGCCCAGACCCTAGCCTCTGAATATTATTTTAGATTTCCTATAAATTTAAAAATGGAAGTGGAGCCGACAAGAAGTATCCAAAATATTATTTAATAAAAAATTAATTTACATCCAACGTATATTTTTTTCTACCCATCTAATTTAAATTTACATAAACTACCAATAGAGATATCTTAATTAAGTTATGAGAAGAAATTTTTAAGTCAATGTTTTACCTCGAGAGATTTTTCAATACTATCGGGCTTCCAATCTTGTTGCGTTACCAATTTAAATTCAGATTTTAATGATAGTAATGTTTTAACATTTTCATCTATTATTTCCTAAAAATAGAATTATCATATTAATAATATTTTCTATATTTTATTGCATAGCAATGGCGAAGAGTAATACACAAAATAAGTTTGCCAATATAGATTTAGACACAATTATCAAAATTGTGTGACGCTATGTAATTTATTAATAAAAAATAAATTATAAAAAAGCAATATAAATTATAAAATTTACAAAGAGTATTAATTTAATAAAACTCGATGATTTAAATTGATATTGTTTTTAGTGTTATTAAAGCCTCGATTTATCCTCTTATTAACTAACGGCTAAATCAAGATTTTAGGCGAACAATTATAACTAAGCTTGGTAATTGGGCAAATGGAGGGCTAAACTTTTCTGATATCTATAAGCCACTTTTAGGTAATATGATTTTTGGCTAAAATATAAATTTAGCCGTTTCTTAATCGACTAAATATAGGTTTTTAGCAACATTACAATTTATCATTGATAAATTATTTTTATAAACGAAATAAATAGAGTTAAATCTTCTTCTTTTCCTTTTAATGACGATTTCCAGGTTTATCCAAACTGCCAATTTTCCCTCTGATTTTTCTTTTACATTTTGACGGTTCTGAGCATCAATATTTGTAAGATTCATTTTTCTTATATCCGCCAATATAACCTTTATAAACGTCATCTTGGGCCTTTCTCTAGGTTTTGATCTTCCTATTTTTATCAAGGTACATCTCTCAGTCATCTTTTGACTTACGTTCCATATGCCCAAACCATTTTATTCCATTTCTTCGCATTACCACTCCAATCATTTCTATACCTATTCTTGCTCGCAATTCCTTGCTAGTTTTTCTCATTCTCAGAGACACTCCACACATCTATCTAATCATCCTCATCTCTGTTCTTTCCAATTTGGCTTCACGGGCCTCTTTCATTGCCCATGTTTCGCCATCATAAACTAAACAACTCTTCACTCAGCTTTCGTAAACCTACCCCATTAATTTAAGAGAGACGTTTTTATTGGTCAGAATAGACGACATCTTTCTGATGTTCTTTCATGCTTGTCTGACCCTTGCAAAAAAGCTGAATCTACACCACAATCTGCGTACAGCCAAATAGTAAAACTTTTTCTAGGGTTAACCCATTGCCAATATCCATATCACCATTTTTAACGTTATCAGTATTATGTACCCCTTTTATGCACGTTCTACAAATAAAAGTCATTCTTGCTAACATCAGACTTCTTTTTTCCCACTAAATCTATAATGCACCTATTTTTGGCATCGTGTGCATTGGATTGAATTCATAGAAAATCTTTTCCCACATACACCACAAGGCCAGTTGCCGGACTCCTCAATCTTCAGATTATCCCCACCAATCATCACCTTTGTCTTTGCTGCATACATATTCAAGTGCATAGCCATCTTCTAATTTTATCCCTCAATTCTTCCTCACTGCTTGCCATTAGTAAAGGTCATCTGCATATAATAGCTCCCAGGGATGCATTCCTCTAGCTACCACATCAATTACTAAGATAAATAATAATGGACTAAGCAAGGATCATTGATTTCAAAACTTTATCTATCTCCATCATCCGTCAGTGCCGCAGTTTGTGTTCCCACAATATATTGCCATCACTGCCATAAGCAACCATTTTTCTACACTTGATTTTCTCAAGGCCCATCTAGTAATCTAGCGCGTCACCCTGTCAAATGCCTTCTCCAAATCAACAAACGCATAATACCGTTTTTTTCGCTACTTCGCCTGTATTTGTCTCACCATAAAAATTTCATCTGTTGTGCCTTTCCCCGATGCAAAACCAAATTGCATTTCATCAATTTTCGTTTGTTCCTTCGCTTCTCTAACACACAAATACTTTTATAGCATGTTATAAGAGTTTATAGCTCTAGGATCACTTTTCCATTTGTATACTGAAATAATTATACTTCTTCGCCAATCTTCGGGAATAGTTCCTTTTGTGACAATTAGATTGACTGAATTAAATCTCTTAGTCATCATAACTTTTAAACATTTCTGATACCATTCTCGTTAAACCAGCTGCCTTCCATATTTTATTTTTTTTCAATGCTCTCTTAATTTCGTCCTTGCCAACTTTACACTCTGAACCTTCTACCACAACTAACATCATTATCCTATTCATTCTCTTCGTTCAAAAGTCCTTCCATGTAGATCTTCCAGGTGTTCTAAATCCTACTACTATCAATCACCATTTTCCTTCTATATTTTTCAAACATTTAACACCTATCATATATTGCCATCAGGATTCCCATTCTTTCTGAGCATTCTATTTCTTTAGCATACTCCTGCCTTTGTTCTTCTTACTATTAATTTCTTGGCATTTCTAGTATTAAAATTTAAAATGATATTGTTTTAAGATTTAAATGAAAAATTTAATCAAAATTTAGATATTTTAAGATAATTTTTGATATATGACGTTGGTCGTCATATAGCAATTTGCTAACAATTAGAACTACCATTTTTGAATCGTTTTATATCTGTCTATTTTAAAATTATGGAAGAAGAAAATAGAATAATATGTTTATCTTCGTCTTCAGATGATTCTTCAACCGAAAATTATAACAATAAATTTAAACTAAGCATACTTAATGGCAAATTTTTTGAAGTACTTCAAGATGATCATAATAAAGTTACTGCAAAATGTAAAGAATGCCACAAACCTATAAATTGTTCTTCGGATTCGTCATCAAATTTTGTCAAGCATTTAAAAGTATAATATATAATTATATAATGAATCACATTTATAATCATATTCATTATCATTTCATATTCCATATCTGTTGCTTTTAAAATAAATTTTCATATTATTGATAAAAATCATTTATGAAATGAATAAGAAAACTAATATTGATAAAAAAAAGGTTGTTAATTTGAACACTAGGCCAAAATATAATCCAAATATTTGGGGCACCAATTTTATATGATAGATAGTACTTAGCAATATTTAATCCACCATGTGTTTTTTTTACATATATGCTTAAAATATATAATTTTTTAAAAAATTATTTTTAAAAAAATTCTTACAAATGTATTTTTTTAATGATTTTACAAATGTATTTTTTTAATAATTTTACAAAAATTATTTATAAAATTTTAATGGGTATTAATTATTATTTATAAATAAGACAAAAATTTCATAAATATTTTAATATAAATATATTTCATCTAATTTTATCATTAAAAGTAGAATTTTTTACAAAAAAATTAGTAAATATCTAATATAAAATATTTTATTATTCGTTTCACTTATAGAGACGTCATCTGGAATCATATAAAAATTATATGACCCATTATAAAATATCATACAAACAGAAAAAACAAAAAGAAATAGTGAAAGCTACATCATTAACTCAAAAAAAATTAGAATTTTCAAATGATAATAAGAAAAAAATATCTCAAGATAAATTTAATAATTTATTAACTTCATTTGTTGTAAAAGGAATGCATCCATTATCCATAGTTGAGCAAAAGGAATTTGTCAAAATGATGGAAGATAAATTCAATTTTTTTTTCTCTTATCCTTATTTGTTCTACTTGTTAATTTATTAGAAATATTATACTGTATTGGAAATCCAATTAAAATTTTTTCTCGAAGATCTTTGCAAAGAAAAATTGATTAAAGCTTCATACATGAAACTGATAATTTAAAACAGTTATTGAAAGCTCAAACATACATCTGCACTACTGCAGATATTTGGTCTATTAAGACTAGAAGCTTTCTTGGAATGACATGTCACTGGGTAATGAAATAATATGCTATTTTATTTATAAATTCAATTAAATAAATATTTAAATAAGCTCTCAAGTGATAGTTTTCAAAGACAATCTCGGGCCCTTGTTGTGAGAAGATTTTCAGAAAGCCACACCTATGATAAAATAGCAGAATTAGTTGATGAAATTCATCGTGACTTTGGTATTGACGAAAAAGTTATAGCAACTGTTACAGATAACGGCTCTAACTTTAAGAAAGATTTCAAGGAGTTTGGATATTCTATGGAAGCTGTAGAGAATGACTTTGACATCAATGATGATGAATGTATAGAATTCGAAATCATTGAAAGTATTATTTAATACTTATTTAAAATTTATTATGATATTGTAAATTTAGTAAAAATTTTTATTCAAATAAAATTATTTATTTGTTTATTTAAGGTCTAAAGAAGCCTCAATAACATTGCCTTAACACATTCGTTGTTTGTGCCATACGATAAGTCTAATTGCCACAACGGATGTCGAGAGAGCTATTAAGGATTCTCCTAACATTTCTAAAATTCATCATCCGCAATAACTAAATGTACTAAGCTATGGAATGCAAATAATAGGCCTAAAACTGCAGAACTTATTAAAGCAATTTTAGGAAAACAATTAGTTACACCTTGTTGCACTAGATGGAATAGTTTGTATGATAGTCTTCATAGTTTATTAAAATTTAAAGGCGAACTTCCTAAATTATGTCAAAAATTAGAATTTCCTAAATTAAGAGATATTGAAATTCAATATTTAGAAGAATATTGCAATATAATGGCCCCATTGGCTATAGCGATTGACAAAATATAGAGTGAAATCAATTGCTATTATGGAAAATCAGCTCCAATTTTAAATGTCGTTAAAAAAAATTACAAATTTAATTCAAACCAAACTACAATTTTGCAAACCATTAGCTATAGAAAATTCTTTAAATAAAAGATTTAAAAATATATGATTTTGATAACAATAAAAGTGCATTTTTGGCAACTATTTCTCATCCCTATTTTAAAAATCGATGGATTGATGGTGAAAAAGAAAAAAAATACCTTCAGGATTTGTTATTACATGAAGTTTTATTTGTTTTTAAAAATAATATTGAAATTAATACTTTAACAAAATCTTCAATTGATGAAGATGATGATTACTTTTGATTTAAAAGTACCACATCCAATTCTAATAACTAAATAGAGGTCCTAAATTATATGAAAGATGACAGGCGGAGTATAAATATGTTAAATAATTATAAATATAT